CTCACACCAGACCAGCTAATCTCGCCTACATCTGCCATCAAACCCTCACACCAGACCGGTTATCCGTCGTATAAACCCTCACACCAGACCGGCTAATCCCGCCTATATCTGTCATCAAACCCTCACACCAGACCGGTTATCCGTCGTATAAACCCTCACAGCAGACCAGCTAATCTCGCTTACATCTGCCATCAAACCCTCACACCAGACCGGTTATCCGTCGTATAAACCCTCACACCAGACCAGCTAATCTCGCCTACATCTGCCATCAAACCCTCACACCAGACCGGTTAACCGTCGTATGAACCCTCACACCAGACCGGCTAATCCATCCTATATCTGTAATCAAAAATCAAAAACATTTTTTCTCTCGCTCTATAGTCAAACTATGCTTCAAAGGACGTCATGTCGGCGACGAGATCAGGTCGGCACTTCCTGAGGTATTTCATCAACAGCCCCCAACTGAGGGCGCAGGGGAAAAGCGGACCGCATTATCTCAGGATCCATTATTGCCATTGAAAAATATCACGTCAATCGATGACCCCGGACCGGTATCGTTAAGATGCCATTTTTCACGTAGCCAGTGACGTAACAGTTAACAAAACCACCGATTTATTTAAGGGCGTTAACAGCCGTAGTAATGGTCGTACAGCTTTGCAACTGGCGCCAGGCGAAACAGTGTTCTTGCGTGCAATTATCATATCATGACGCTGACAAGGGACAGGTGTCAGGTCAGGTCAGCTCAGACCGCGGTGAAGTCAAGTCGTGGTCAAATTGGGCCACAGTCAAGAAATCTCATTGCTCATCGCGTGTGATCTATCCGCTCTTTCGGTTTGCGTGACCTATGGCAGCATCAGTTGAAAATATGTTAGTTATACCGTCTTACTCGTCACAAATAGCGACAAGAATCTTTAGCCCATATGGTGCGCATACAAGGTTCACAGTTGATGAATATAAAAGCAAAGTCGACAAGAAAAGAAACAGAGAATTGCTGCCTATAGAAGCAAAGTCAGCTGAACAAGTTATCATTGATGCCGTCATGACTCTGCGACCCGACTAGACTTTGTTTCTTCTCGAGCATTGTCAAATCGATCACTTGAAGAGCACCGAAAATTTGGTGGGCCTACCTGAAATGGCACAGAAATCCTTCTACAAACTCGCGGAACAGTATCACTGACCTCCAAGTGATGACGAGCTAATCCAGGGGCTGACAATCTTCATTATACGCACGCTATGCCGATGCTGCCCACGTTGTTGGCGTCCGACCGCCGCCGTCCATCACATACGCCGACGCCGGTGCCGTCGATGGGGTGAGAGGGGCGCCAGGGGCCAGCTGGGGCGGCGAGAGGAGCCTTTCTGACGGGATGACGGCGCCGCCGGGCCTCGGAGAGCCTCGAGACGAGCAGGCAATACAGGGGTTGCGTAGTGGCCAATCAGCTTTGATGAATGGTGGCCTGTCAGGAGGGTGTCCGGCGCTGTGCTGGTGATGACCGCTGGGCGAGATCGAGCTTGTGGCTACGGCCTGAACGACATAGATGCTGTTGTACCTAGTGTGGACTAGTCCGTACATGTGCGGGCTAGTCAACGCTATTTACATATATATATATATATATATATATATATATATATATATATATATATATATATATATATATATATATTGAGCCCGTAATACGGGTACTTGGCATATTTTGCATAACCACACTGTCATTACGCTGCCACTACTTATTTGCAGACATGTACCTAAATCCCAGAAGTTGAGACCGACGTCTGCTTAAATATTGGGTTCAAGGTCATTTCGAATTTCAAGGCTATTATAAGATTTTACCTAGGTGCATCGTTGAATCTGGGGTGCATCCAGACCGTTGTCATCATGTCATGGTCGGTACTTTCAGGAACCGGAATATTTTTTCAATAGGGCACAAAATCTACCAGGATCAATTTTTGTAACTCTGTTTGCTATTTAATCTGACCAAAGAAAATGGTGAGCTGCTGCATTTCTGAAATTTAAGCCTAAACGGAACAGAAAATTCGCCTTATTGTGGTGAACCTGTCATACTTTCTCTCGGTGGCCTTTGCCTGTTCGAAAGCTCCCTATGGCCTTCGCATGAAAACTTGCTGCACAGAGTTATGTTCTTTCGAGTCGCCCCAAATGGCACGGAGTGCGGTCTGATATGTTGCTGGCTTAAAACGCGAAAAGAACGGATAGTGTTTCTCCTTAGCCAAATGAATCGCTATGATCTTATATGATACCAATTTTTCGTCTGGACGAAAAGATTTCTGGACTTTATTTTAAGTATTTGAAATGGGCCAGCTGAATATAAATGGTTTTCATATATCTCGCTACAGAATGCTCTGTGATGCATTTGTTATAAATTTCACCAAGGGATCTTCTACGTCTCGGTATTTTTTTCGATGTTTTGGGGTAGATCGACCAGGTTCTTTTGAGGGCGGGGGAGCGCACGCGCTCATCCTGCCCCGGTTATCTCCCGCGAGTGCGGGGAAAAGGCCTTCGTCTGAGTTTCCTGTTCGTCTGACATGAGCGCCTTCATCGGCACCAAACTCAGGACCCAGACGCAGGACAACTAGCCAACGCGGAATGTTGTCGGGCGTTTTGTATTCAGATGATGACAAATGTCGGCCAGCCTACGGCAGGGTTCCCATCTCACTTGGCATCCAGCCGCCGTATGAAGTGGGCCGCGTTCGACACCAAAATCGTTTCATGCTCGCCCTCCATTCGGGGTCTCCTCCCATTGCGGACAAGCAACTAAGAAGGGCATATTTGTGCGACCTGCTATGAATGGAAAAGCTAATTCAAAGTCGTCGAACTAATCCACAGAATGAGGACAGGTAGCTATCGTCCGTACCCTCTGGGTCACCTCAGCTCTAATGTACTGCCACCACCGACACCCGACGGTGAGATGTAACAAACGATGGCGTAATTGCCGTAATATTTCTCAGGACATCATAAATCAACAAACCTTTCCCGGCCTCAAAGGTTACATAAGTCGGGCCTCGTCCCAAACTGCGGGCAGAAAAATGTTAATCGAGCAAAATACTCAGCGTAACAATAAAACATAAAACGAAATAAAGCATGATATAACAAAATAATAAAATAGTGAACGACACGGCTGACGCAGAACAGAAGCTAATCAAGCGCAGCTTTTGGACGGTGCATCATCACACACGGCATTTGACTAGGAAATGTTAATCGTCGGTCTAACCGTAGCTGCGACGTCAGCCGTCGTTTAGCCGGTAAATAACGCTGGACACCAGAGCCTCTTCCGCTTGATTCCGGTATGGCTGGGCCTGTGTCAGATGTACGTACTTGGACATAAACAAAGTACTTAGCACGCAGCGCAATGCATTGGAAGCCTCGCACCCTCGGATATCTGTGCTATTCTTTCTGGAGATAGTATGCTCGGTTATGAGCAAGGCGGATCATTATCGCCGATGTGCTGGTAAAGTATGTCACCAGATTCTGTCATCATCAGGACCAATGTAGCATGGTGATGGGCTAAGTATTAATAGTCGATTCGACATCGTACAACCCCCCACACACACATACACACACTGGCAGACGTGTTCTCGTTACGGCATTCATTCCCTCTTCAGCACAATCAGAGGCAGTCTGACAGTCAGTCAGAGTCCCAGCATAGTCACTTCCTAACTTTCAGCAGCGTGCTGGACTGACGAACGAGTGGCTCACTGGCACCCAACACTCCCACGTCCCAGCGGCCAGTCCGGACCGCCGGCTGCCGGCCGAGCGCGCGCTCAGAGAGTGAAACCTCGGAACGCGTCTATTGGAATGCGCGCGGCGCGCCGGCCGAACAGCTCGGGCCGCTCTCGGCTGGGGGAATCGGGAGCAGCGGGCCACAGGCTGACCTTGAGCCCGTTCCCGGCCCCGCTCGGTATGGACTGCGGCGTGCAGCGACACTCCCGAGGCATGCAGCGGCGCCCCCGAGACAGGCGCCAGGAGTACAGCCTCGGAATCAGGCCACTAGCCAGTGGTCACCCACCAATGCCCAGAGTTGTACCTGCTGTTGACCATAACCACCGGTATCAGCTGATGTTGACCCAGCATGCTCGGCTATGGTCTCCTGTACCTTATACCCGTCCACCTGGTTGGTCTAGACCTTTTGACAAACGTCACAGAACTGAGCGGCTCGAACATATGTGACGAAGATTGCACTCTAGCTGCGATGTTTCAACTGCGCTGCCCGGCCTATTAACTGGCCCGCTGTCGCAGCCTGCAACGTGCTCGTCGGAGCCCCAGCTCCGCCGCTCTCATCCAGCGCAGCACCAGACCCATCTCCAGCCGGCGGCGGCGGCGGCATGAAGCCATCAAGCTGGCGCCGCACCCCTGTCAGCAGTAAGCGTTACGTCATCGGATCCCTGGCCGGGCGGCGATGCTATCGGCCGGCGCTGCAACGTTACGGCGGCGCCGCGTGCGGCCCGCGGCGTGCAAAAGCCGGCCGGGTCAGCCAGGTCGACCGGGCCGGGTGACCTCCGTGATCTCCGTCCGATCGTCCGGCCGTCAGAGGTCAGGTCCTCCGGGCCGGGTCACAAGGCAGGACCGCGCGCGCAGACGTCGTCCAGCGGCTGACCGGGCGTACGCCGAGTACGTGGACGTGGCCCTCTACGAAGGCCAGGCGGTGAAATGGAGGCCGGCCGCGTCCACAGCAGGCTCACTGGGTTCGAGCGATGAGATCTCCTATTGCGCTAGTACTACGACTGCCCGTAAAATCGGTAGTAAATCTGACGCAACGCCGGTGGCCGCGGGTGGGAGAGCATATGGCTGATGACAGTATGCGGGAGTCAAACAAGTCATCACCCAACCGAACTGTGCGGCCAAAGCGGTATTTGTATTGGCCACGTAAAACTTGACATAACGAAACGTAGGTGCCAAAATACAGGCAGGTTGGGAAGCCAGCGGTCAGTACGTTTACAACACCACGTCAGGCACGGATCGCCCATAAATCCTACAAAAGAAAACATCGTTGCTTTACGTTCACCGTCTGTGTATTATCCACATATATACTGTTCCAACAATGGCCTATGAGACGCCCAGCTTACGTTCCGCAGATTGCGCGCGCGCACAAACCAGCTCGCTACTGTCACTAGTTACACCAGGTGGCAACACACACCACGGGAATGTTGACACCATGCCAGACGAAGCACATCAGCACTCAGAGGCATCCGCGCACAAGATCCACGGTAAAGATTCAAAGACTCAGAGTCAACAGATTCAGCTTTCTAGCGAGGCAGATCGACGGGTACAGATCTTACGGAGGGGGTCGGCTTCACAGCGGTGACTCGAAGCCGACAGCGGGCGAAGATGGGCGGGCGCGAGCCAGTGCCGGCAGGGCCGCGCGCCCAGACAGAACGGGGAGACGAGCGCGCCGCTCCACACCAGCGTGTTCGGGGCGGCCCGGGCGCGGCGGCAGGGCAGACGCGGCGCGGGGCGGCTCTACGTCAGCGACACGCAGGCCTAAGCCCCGATCTTCTCCGGACGGCAGTTGGGATGCATCTCCGGCTCGATCTCGTACACCATCCGCAGCAGCTGCTGCACCACCTGCCACAACACAGAGACGTGTCGGCCGTCAGTTCGACGCATAGGCAGCCACACCACCTGCTTTCACAGGAATGCATGCACGCGTGCAAACGCAGTTTGCACATGGTATGCAAACATCTGGCGCACAAATTCGAACAGAGAGCTATGCTATGCCGCCTAGCACCTCACCAGACGTAGAAAATGTGCGTTTATTACCAGTGCAACGATAGAGTTTCAATCGTGACGTGAACGTAGTAAACGTTTAGGACACCAAATTTTGGTAACGGCAAACTTCAAGTGTTTCTGCAGCAATCACAAGCAGTGCAATCAGACTGCACCACAGGAGAGTATGGTTCAGTTCAATGTGTGACTAGTAGGTTGGATACGTACCGTCTGTTTGTGGTTTGTCACCTGGATGTCCATCTCCTGCAGTTTTCTCTTGGTTTCCGCGTCAATCTGCGCCGCCATCTTGTCCTTGTCACCCAGTGTCTGCAACCAACGGCCATCCATTCGTCAAAACCCAGCTAGTTACAGCTGTGTACGGCACAGCCGAATCAGCCGAATGAGCCGAATGAGCTAAAGTCGAACGATTGATATGTGTAGCCCCACCTCCATCACGTCGGCAGCCACGGCATCACAAAACCCCGCATATCAGAGCCGGGTAAGTTGGCACAGACAGTGCCGCCGCCACACAGCGCCACACCGACACTAGCGCCACCTACACCGAGCTCACCCGGCGCCACCACCGTTCGGCGCGCATGCCTGCCTCCAGAAGGCTATAGTACGCGAGCATTGTGCGGTCTCCCAATCACGTGTGACTAAAAATTGTTGAAAATGAACTAACATGCTACACCGATTCAACAAGACCCGATATTGATGAATGTGTAGCTGCGGTGTCGCCTGGTGCAAGTGGGCAAACTGGCCCCCTTCGTCATTAAATTGCAGAACTCTTGTGGTTTAAAAATTGCAGCAGCATCGTAAACTTTAAAGTCCCCATCAATCGCCTAGATCGATTAAAATTGCAGTATAGTTTCAGTTTCTAGTGCCTAATTTGAGAAAAGTAACACAACACACGTATATTTCCCCCATGAGACATACGGACGTCAGGCCCCCTGGAGTTTCGCGCATCCTTGTGCTCCACAAATGCGCCGTTGTGCCAACCTAGCACCGCACAATCCTTACCACCGCCCGCGTACTCGACGGCGCGATGTTCCTGACCTGAGTCCCTCCTCCCCGGCTGCCGACCAGCGGCTCACACCTCAGACAGACCGTCCCGCCGTCTGGTGCACCAGCGCCAGCGGCTCAGACCTCAGACAGACCGTCCCGCCGTCTGGTGCATCACTGCCAGCGGCTTAGCACGGACCCGAGTGACTGACCACGTACTCGAGTGACTGACCACGTACTCGAGTGACTGACCACGTACTCAGGAGATCCAAAACGGACTCAAGCGACTCACTGCGGACTTACGGATTCGGAAAAGATTCGCTATGGACTAGAGCGACTCACCGCGGACTTGAGATTTATCACGGACTCGAGCGACTCCCCACAGACTCCAGCGACTCACTGCGGACTACAGCAATTCACCACGGACTCGATACTCACCGCGGAGTCGAAAAGATTCGCTGTGAGCTCAAGCGATTCACCGCGAACTCGCAAAAATTAACTACGGACATCAGCGACTCACCGCGGACTCAACGGCGCGGAAGTTCGCATCCTTCTCCTTGTGGATGCGTTCAATCTCGGCCTGGGCCTCCTCCTTGGCCTGCTTTAGACGCCGCTGCTTCCCTGAGGTGTGTATACAGCTTAGTGTATGTTGTGACACATAGGGCCATGACACTGCACAGATAATTGCACATGATGGGCTACATGCACACCATAAAGACCTGACTACAGGATGGAATAAAGGCAATGTGAGAACTTTGATCTTCCCTGAGAAATGGGCACATGTTAACCTGTCCTCATGCATAGGCCTGTCTGCATCTACCTGCCTCTGCGTACCAGGCAAGAATGAGAAGATAATGCACCGGCTCACTCAATAATCACCATAGGAATGCGGGGTGTGACAGAGTAGTGGTGCAACTAAACCGCGTCCTAAAGTGTGTCTAGTTAGCAATTAGAGCCAATACAAATTAACAGCCAAATGACCAATATGAACCATTGTATGCAAAATACGAATGAGCCTATCAAACCAATTACAGCCCATCCATTCTTACAACTGATTAACAACTGCCTCAGATGTTCTAGATCAGCTTTGTCCATGACTTCGGGTCTCATATAAACCTCCGCATTTGTATTATGAAAGCGTCAGTGTGGGTGCTACCACACATGCTCCCTCATGCATGTTCACTTTTTATAATCTGTCAGCATGTAAGATAGCTTGGAATAACCAATGTTCTGCAAGCTGTTAAACTTACTTTTCCTGGCCTCAGTGACCTTTTCTGATGCCTTCTTCTCAGCCTGCAGCAGATGCTGGATTCCCTGATTATTCTGAGCCATTTTTGCTTCAAGAACTTATCCTGAAACATGCAACAATGAAAATATTGCATGATGTCCAATATGTGATGCTTATATACAGAAGAAATAATTTATTGGAAACTCATCAATGCAGTATATAATGATGCCACATTCTTATTGCCCTTAGAATGCTAGCTGTACCACTATTTCAAACACACAATGGTGCGGCTTGATTGCCAATACCATGGTATCCCAATTGAGAGGCAATTATGGATCTTCTTAGACAGCAATCATACTGCATCAGATATTTTAGGATCTGCCCGACTCTCCGCTAACTGCTACATCATATTTCTGTAGTATACATGAAAGAATCACTCAGTATCCTTAAGAGATATTAATTTGTACTGGGTATCACTCCTTAAATATAAAAGCAAAATCAATTTTTGAAAGGACTGCTTCCAAACCTTTTTGAATGGACATATTTTTGGATCAGAGCTCATGCTTAGCAGTGCTTGTTGTGTAAGTGAGTTGGGTGGCAGGCATGGTAACCAACTGATCCAAGGGGACAAACATAATTGCTTTTAAAGTACCTACAATTCTCTTAAAATGTACATTAATAGCTTGACCAAGCATTCACAGGCTAGCACTGTTTGGTCTGAACCTTCTGATCAATGCAGTTTTATCAAGTGGTGTTTCATTGCCAATATTGGGCCACTTGGGTGGTAGGGATATAAATATTTAGCCATGCTATTGCACCCCCAGCTTTAGCTTCACTGTCTGACACCCATTTCCTTGCTTAAAATCAGCTTATCAGCATGAAACAGGCAGTGGTCACCATATCATCTAAGAGTCGCAGGCTCCACAGATGGGCTAGGCTGACCAGGTGTCTGAGTTTAGAATCATTACAGACTAAAATACATGTGAATGACTCACAAGCTAACCCCCTAAAACACCTGATGCATATGCATCTACCTACTGATAATAATTTCATTATTTGGAACCAAAACCTTAACTTCAAGATAATTTTCAATTTTTCAAGACTAAATCCAACCTTTGGAATGGGTGTATTTCTCAGATTGATTAAGTGTTTTAGAGCCCACCAACAACAAATAGTTGTTGCAGCACCTGTGATCTTTGGAATCAAGGATCACATCAAGCAGTGCTTATGTTAGCCATGACCACTACCACTTGATCATGCCATTCCAGGTAAGCAGCATAAATAAGAGGTAAAAGTTGCATATGCAGCAATGGTCTGCCCAGTCTGTCTGCCAATGCTGTCAGTCCCCCCTGTCAGACCCTTTAACATCACCTGACCTTTAAAGTAACTGCTGCCATGGCCACAGACCATCCCTGCCAAGATCAAATAACGAGCGCCTCGAGCAACCCACCCACCCTGTCATGGGTGGGTGGATCAGGATGCAGGCGATCTAACCACCTGAGCTATTCGGACGAACTTAGGACAACTAACCAAACAATTCCCTTCTTTCAGGCTTGTGCTAAAAGTGATGACAATATGTGGGCTCAAAACACCTAGCAACTGCATAATTTTTCATCAAATTCTCAGCAGTCTGTCAACTTATCGCCTCGCCCGGACTCGCGAAAAAGATAAGTTGACATGTAGATAAGATGGCAGGTAGATAAGTTGACATGACGCAGAATTGCTATCATATCGCTCCAAACAAACCACAAGTGCTCCTGCCCCAAAAGACAAGCTCAAATGATAGCGCACACGCAAATCTTCGACGTCATGCCCAGCAAAACGAAATCCGTGCTATCTTAGTGAGCTGGCCCAGGGTAACACCATATATCTGCACTAACCACCTACCGCCGGAGCCCAGGCGACGACTGCGTTCAGGGATGTAAACAAAATTCGGCTACTAAACATTGCAAACATCGTATAATTCGGCTAGACATATTTTCCAATGTTTGTCCAATCTTCCTATTCTATAGTGTATTTGTAAAAAACGAGTACATGAAGACGAATATAGAATATTATTGCTATTTCTGACCTTTTAGGAAAAATTGAGCACAAGCTAAGCTTAGCACGTGCGCTCTAATCAACAGAAGTTCTAGTAAGTATTTCAGTGTTATACTAGAAATGCATATGCGCCATAGTTGTATATATGCCTCACATGACACAGGACTGACAGTAGAAAGAACCCACGTGATGTGTTTATTTTTACTTTTTCCTGCATACGTGTATCATTATGTACCGTAAGATATTAAGCACATTATGTTGGAATCCCACATTATGGCTTATTTATGAGAAAAGATCATCGAACTCAGAATCACTTCGGTCAAATGTCGTGGACTATTGACGCGACGCCAAGAAACCGTTCGGGATCGATCGATAGCGTTCATCATTGCATTTTTTTCTTTCGTCATTTCATCATCTGATCAACATTTCAATATTAATCGTTGTTTATACTCTTGACGTTACTGTACGCAGCAAGTGCGGTAACAAACGTCAGAAAATGCGCAAAAACCTCCCATGTTCAAAGATGAAGTCCCCAAAAAGTAACGGTGGTTTGGCTCATAATTGAGCTAGAGGTGCGAAGCAAATGACCGCTGTGCTGCTGTTCATGAAAATAAGTCAACGATATCCGGTATAGGGGTTTCAATAAGTTGTTACTTAGTATAACGCACACTTGGGCAGCCACACCGGGGCGGAACGCCACGCTGCCCAAAAAAGCTCCCCTGCTTACGTTCCGGTCGCTCTCTATCAAAACACGTTCCTCTTCCATTTAACGTAATTTCCTTTGCTTCCTTTCAATTCAGCACCCGAAAGCACAGAAAGCTGCACTTTGAGATTTAGACATTGATGTTAGCAGGTGAACAGAGGAAATATCATCAGAACTTCGTTGGGACTCGGAACCACAGGAAAGTTTCTTCGCATAGAGCGGCGAGCTTCGTTCCGTTGCTGGTGAGGCGCTCACCAATCGCATTGGCCACATCCAGAGCTTAATGCACCACGCGACCAATTTTCGCCGGCGGATTAGTGAAGAGCTCAGCTGCCGCTTTGCCGCCCTCGCAGATCCCACCAGGTGTGCTTGTCTCCCGGTTTCCCATGATGGTTAAGACCCATATTTGCGGTCATCTTTATTGCCGACTTGATGTGGATGGTCAGGTCGTCAGCTCCCATGCTGGTTAGCGTGGGAGCTGAGCTGAGCTGACAGCGTGGTCTTGAGCAGACCGATGGGAGCCAGAACGCCAGGTGATGTAGATAAAGCAGCCTGGAGAGGAGTACGATCGCTGCTCCTGCGAGGATCTCGGCAAAACAAGGGAAACGTAGGGGCTTGAACTGGGAGGCTTTGTGTTTCATTTCGTTCGTATTTGCACCGAAGTTTTTAGCTCTTACACGCACGGATGTCAATTTGCTTTTTTGTCAAGGCTCTAGCCTCCCAATTTTGGAGTTTCCCCCTCCCCCATGTTGGCTTGCCCCCAAATGTTTTGGTGAGAATGGTAGTAATAGAATAGTAGTAGGTAGCCAAAGCGTAGAAATTGACCATCACAAACAGGCTACCTTCCTTGGAGCTTGTTTGATGGCTATGGCAGCAGGAACGGATCCGGGATCTCGATCGGTGAGACCATCTCCAGAATTCTAATCACGGGACCATGAATCCTACACAGAAGGCTTGGATTTCGCTCAGATTGGAACTGTCCCATTTTGTAAAATTGCGTGACGAGAACGTTGTAAGTTTTACAAGTTTGGCTAGTTGATCTATGCTAAAGATATCACCGTATCGAATGGACGTGAGCATGTATCGCATATATGAGATTGGATTTAATGCAGGCTCTGCCTCACATAAACAGCGTGTAGTATGGGCTCGCGCAGTCGTGATGCAAGACTGCTATGGTATCGAAACACCCAGCAACCTTATTTATTTTACTTTGGTGCGTATGGTGAATCGTAAGATCACGAGCACGGTACAGTACAAAAGTCATATTTTTGCAGTTATTGCCGAAAATCGCCACCTTAAACAAATGGCACATGTTTTTGTTTTGCTATTTTTAATCAATTGCGCTCCCCAACTTCAAGAAATGCACATCCGGCTCAGGCACATGAACGAAACCGTCTTCAGCTTCGGCTTGGACGGCGGGTAATGAGCCCGAAGATCTCCCTGTCACTCCTTAGTAAGATGCTACTGTGCTATATCACTATCATATAAGATAATCGACATAAAGACCGCCGCAGGCTGACCCAATTTTTGAGTGCCGTATGATAGCCGCGCACTAGTGCTGTCGCATGCACGCGGTTTCATTCGTCTCGCTTGATTCCAAATGACTTGAAACCGGTGCCGTTTTTTTCATTCGGAACGTGGCAATTTGAATCATTTGTGATCTACGTATATGTTATAAAAGTACGTTCTTTCCACGGCAAGTGCCTTGGCGAGTGGGGACCGTGCGCGCAAGGTCAATGTGCTGACAACCTCCGAGCACTTGCGCACCTTGGCGTGAGAAGAAGTGGGGACGAGCACTCAGAGTATGTGAAGACTTACCTAGTATACGTTAGACAGCACACACCGTGCGCAGATTCATCAAAAAGGTTGGCGACACCGGCGATCGCACCCGCAAGACCAGGTGCGGCCGTCCGCGATCCTGGGAAGGGCGATCAAGGTGGTTCCGAAGTATCCCGAGGCATGCATCGCCAGCGATGACGATCGTTGAACTGAAATGATCTTCTAAATGAAATAGTGGGCAATGCTTTACAAGGTTCTCTTCACGGTATCTCTCTAGTGCACTTGATGTATTTATCGGAACGATTGTAAAGCGTTGCCCTTATCATGATCGAACAATGATAACGTTTCACCAGAAATCTCAATAGCTTTGGCTTCATAGGCTATAGCAACTACCTTGCATGCACAAACTAAATGTAACGTAAGTCATTTCGAAGGAATATTTCCTTACTTTTAGATGATATGTATAGCTGCTATACAGCCTTTCAATAGGGGAATACTTCCTTAAAATACAGCGCCGACACTTTTTTCAAATCTCACTGTAGGCATAAGAGCAGAGCGCCCTCGCTTCTTTCAAAGAGGTGCCGTAAGATGGTCACGCAAAATATTCGAACAGTAGACTACCTGCTTGCGAACCTATGGTCAGGTGCCGTTAGACAGCCTGACAAGGCCTGTGAAGCCCAGTTTTGAATTCCCGCACCTAACTAAAAAAATTGTTAACCGGTGCCGTATTTCCACTACCCTTGCCTCAAAGTATATTGTGGGGTTACTAGAAGCCTTTTTTCAGAAAAATGCGCCCTAATCACCGCCTGTGCCTCGGCAGAACCGAATGCAGGTCTTTAAATGTTGATAGCATTGATTTTTTCCACGAGTAGAGCTTCCGCTCGCATTTTAATAAAATGACCGGTTAGGATCATATCACATAAATGACAAGGCCACCGAATGATGTTCCAGTGTTTGGGTGTCGTTTGCACATGCAGTTTAAGGCCCTACACCAGCGCTATCAAACGCGTAAGCTGACTTGACAGTACTTGACTATGCTTGACGCGCAAGTTGACAATGGACTATGCGACATTTTAAAACGGTCACATTTTCTCCATAGAGGTGATCACTTCAGTAATTTGTGGTTTGAGCAAGTATTCTAGAAATACGTCATTTTCGAGGTACGTGACGAATACGAATTCAGAGTTCAAGCTTCGCGCTTCAAGCATTTTGTTTTTTACACGACTGGATCGACCTTTCATAAAGACACCCTGTGAGGGTCCTTGATGCTACCAAAGGAGCACAGTTTCACTCTCTTCGCTCGCACATAAATAATTTTAAAACGGTGCGGTGGATTCGCCAACGGTTATCCCATGTGTCCATTGAGTTTATTTGTGATATACATACATATTCTAAAAGTGCGCCCTTTTCAAGATGGGCACCATGGCAGATGTTGGATATTTGTACAAAATTCGAACACGCTTCATGCATTAGTTGCCCCCCTGCAATAAAACACAGCTGCGCCGTGATAACCTTTCAATAAAGTGACCACCCTTCCCCAGGCTGACGTACATCCCACAGCCTGCAGGGCACAGAGGCAGGGGGCGCTGCCCTTTCAGCTAAACAGATGGCCAGCCACCGCCATGGGAACCCTCCTGGACTACAAACGATCTTTCAGAACTCTCCCGTTACTCCTTAGGATTCCCGTCTTCAATGGCGCGGGATTGGACTTCTCTTCAGCAATGACAGGTTGAATAGGCTCTGCTTAGACCTGTGGGCCTCTTGTAGTAGTCTCGGGCCCAAGCCTTATGAAAAGCGTGCATTTGTCGCGGGTAAGTGTTCTCAACTTCCGAGCGAGAGTTCAGCTCCGTTAAGGAGAGAATTCCAATACCTTCTCAGCGCAAAAATGATACGCCATAATAATTCAAAAAGGTAAAAAAACATCAGAACTTCTATTTTTGTATTCAACACTTAATGGCGGTTCTTCTTAGTCTGAACTTAACTAGCGCGTGCAAGTCGCACTCATGGGGTTCTCGTTACTTCACAAATGACATGTACGGGCGTCCTTTACCTTTCGCAAACATTTCGAACATTGCTAAAAAAAAAAACAGTCCGAACCATAAACTTGGCAAACCGTGGGCATGAGACTGGGCTCGTTCTTCACTCAGTCAGCACATCGGAAGATTTTAGGTACGTAATATATAGCGTACAATATCACTCCGATTGCTATCAGCGAATTTAAATTACCACCGTCAATATTGGCATGTCTTTTACAGCTTAACAATACGACAGTATCAGCGCACACTCCACGCAGAAAACGATAAATGTTATCGCTTAACGCTTGCGTACTGCGCAAAAAAACTACCTTCAACCCCCTTCGATCTTCAACACGTCACTCAACATATCCATTTGGTGTAGGACAACTCCCATGTTGGGAGGGACGCGGCGCGGCCAGATACCAGCCGGTCGAGGGTGTACCCGCTGATAAGCGGCGGAGTCGATCACACGGGTCCAGTGGCGCCGGCGAGACCCGACCCGAGGCCAAACCAGGGTGCGGTGCACGCGTCACGCTAGAGAGGGATACCTGAATATATGGGCGCCGAACATGCCACCTGAGTGGGGTCACGACCCAAGGGACGTCGAGTTCTTTCCGGTACGCCAAGATGGTCTGACGTCATCAGCGGCACGTCCCACGCAGTCTGAGGTCATCTTTGTGACATGTCCCGGATGACTAGACGTGATCTTCGAGACGTTCCGGGCGATATGACGTCATTCTCAGTGCGTTGCGGGACACCGAACGTCGTCCTCATCACGTCTTACGTAAAGGAGTCCAGGGTATCTGAAGTCATCGTCTGCGCGTTCCAGGGCACCTGCCGTGATCCTCCCCCGGCACGTCCCCAGAACCCTGTCGCTCTTCAGGCACTTCACGGGCCCTCGGCCGCGCCGTTCAGTGCCGGGCGCAACGCCGCGCCGCTGGCTCTGCGCCGCCGCACCACGCACGTGCCGGCGGCGGCGGCTAGCTGTCCTGCTCGGCCTCGGCCGGCGGACAGCAAACCAGGCCGGTGGGCTGGCCGTGGCACGACTCGGTGGCCGTGTCGGAGGACGCGTCAGAACCGTCGCTTATCGCGTCCGCGCCGCCCAGCGACATGGCGCGCGCCTGCCTCGACTCCATCAGGAAGATGGACTCCTTGTTGTCCTTGGTGCAGTACTTGTCCATGCGGTCGTAGATGATGGCGTCGCATCCCACCGACTTGAGGTAGCGGATCGTCTCCACGTTGGCGTTGTCGTCACCCCAGCAGAAGACTATGAGACCCTGCGCCTGCGCGTGCTTGACGAACTCCGGCTGCTTCAGCAGCACACCCGAGAACACGTTCACGCCCTGCGGACAGAACGTGAGCAGCGATCACCAACGGCGATGATACCCGACACTGCAGCGAGTCACACACGACGACTATCGCCCAGTCTGACCGCTTCAGTGACAGGCTGCGAGGATTGGGCACGCCGCCATCGGTCGCAGGTCATGCCGATTGCTGAGCACCATGGCGCCACCGGTCACGGACTGCCAGACTGCAGACACACCGTCACACACCGCCAGCAATCATAGACCAGGAGACTGCAGACACACCGCCACACCGCCAGCAATCATAGACTACGAGACTGCAGACACACCGCCACACACCGTCAGCAGTCATAGACTGAAAAACTATAGACACATCGCCACACACACACACACACACCGCCAGCAATCATAGACTGCGAGACTGCAGACACACCGACACACACCGCCAGCAATTATGGACTACGATGGCCGCTGAATCCCTGAGGACATACGACACCAGACGGCTGCGTGGACCGCCGGCACGTCATGAGTCATGCACTTCGACCATTTGTATAATTAGATCAGCCGCAAACACAACACATATTCCGCGGTCATGTTGCCCCAGACTTCGAGGATCTTTTAAATAACGATCACACCAGTCGTCTAACTGGATCGGATTCATCCAGGCCACAGCATTCCCGCTGCATCGAAGCCCCAACCCGTCCACTGCACACATCACAGACTCAAGGGCAGCCGGCATGCAGCACGTAGCGATAATGCCGTATCACATTACCAGCTCCTCAGAGGTAAACATATTTCAGAAAAAAACATCACAGCCAGCTCCAGAAGATGTCACGATCGCCTGCAGTGCTTGTTCGGAAGGCAACGCAGCGTGACCACTCACCAGGATCTGGGCGGAGCGTGCGAACAGCAGCGACATCTCGAGCGTCTGGGTGCGCGTGTCCAGGTACGGCGGCCACTGGTTCGTCTCGCCCTGCGTCAGGAACAGCACCGGGAACCGGTTCTGCTTCAGGCGCAGCATCGTGCAGATGTCCGGGTGGAAGCAGGAGAAGATGATCTTGCGCGTGCCCGAGTAGGTCAGCACAACCTTCAGGATGTTGTCGATGTAGCTGTTCAGCTCGAACGGGTGGTACAGCTCGAATGAGCCGTCCTGGAACAAGGAACGGACCGCTGTTGGAATCCTGTATCACAAGTCACGATACCGGGCTGGCAACGCCCTCAGAGCATCGTCAACCTGCAGTAAGTGCTACATTTCATAGAATGCCCGTTGTCCTCACTTCCTCGGACGTCAGAATCCGTGTGCTGGCACGTCTCTGTTACGAATATCATTTTACTGAACAATGCGACTTTGGTAATCATTAACAGTCAACCAAATACAATGCCAAATCTGGAAACCCGAAAGGCTCAGGACAGCACACGTCACTTCTGTAGCTACTACTCCCCCACCTGTAGCTGCATAGTCCACTTGATCTCAATGTTGAAGCCCACGTGTGGGTCCAGTGTTTCCATGGCCAGCTGAAGAGTGGGAAACGGCTGGCTGTCCTCCGTCGTATCATTCTCTAGATGCAAGGAGCCCATTTTGCCCTCCTCGATGTTGTACACCTGCGAATGATTCGACGACGGTCATGCATCTCTGCATGACATCGCGTAGATCGAGATGCCTACTCCGTATAGCAGCCCACACTCCCCTGCATCATCTTATCCGAGGCATCCATCGGAGGCTCGTGATTTAGAGAACTGCCATTTGACCACGCTTGCACGGCCAATTGGCCTTCCTAAAGCGCATGCATGCATTTCCCGCACGAGTTTTCGATTTGATTAAAACGTCATCACCAGCCTTGCGAAGCAGAATCTACGACCCATCATTTGCTCCGTACACCACCACTACCACTGCCCAAGACCTGCCCTTGGAACGAGAGCCCCACGCCACGTCCCCCGCAGCCCACCTGCAGCTGCCGCAGCTGGCTGTACTCCAGGTCCTTGAGCGGCACCGTCAGCAGGTGGTGGTCCTCGACGATGTCTTTCTTGCGCAGCGCGATGCCCACGTGGAAGTCGTGGTAGATGATCGGCGTTAGATCCTTGCTGAGCTGGATGTCGAACTCCACGAAGTCGGCACCGTGTTCGATCGCCTGCTTCAGAGAGGCGATCGTGTTCTCCCGGATGTTGGCGCACACCTCCGACCTGCAGCGGAACGACGCGTATTAGCGGCGACACCCCTGTATCGGCCAGCAATGGCTCAAGACGCATCCTGTTACGTCAACAGTCCGGCATGTGAGGGCTCATATAACGCATTATGGGCACAGCCCAGAAGCCTAGGGCCTGTCACTGCACGTGCAGCGGTTTCGTTCTTACCGGGATACCACCGGCATACGATACCAACGGGACGTCTTCCCTCGTCACTGTCTCCAAGGTCGTGGCTAGGTGCCAAATATAGCTTGTACACAGACGGGCTATGCATAATCGCTACCCATCTTGTAATATCCTGCACGTATGAGTGCTAGCTAGATTGCCACCGAGATCACGGTGACAAGCAAAGTACAAAGACACACAACTCCCGCAAGCTCTAGTTTGCATTGTTGCCGGCAATCTACAGGCATTAGAACATGACGAAGATGACTAATATCCTCGTTGACAGCACCACCTGACACCCTACAGCGCGGAGCGGGGCTGGGGATGTCAACCACCCCACGACCAGTCCGGCCGCGCGCGGCGCGGATCCGGCGGCGGCCTACTTGTGCGTGAAGGAGCTGCCGGCGCCGCGGTGTCCGACGTCCAGGCCCCGCCAGGTGGCGCGCCAGTAGCGGGAGAACGAGCTCTCCATGCGACACTTCATCTCGGTCATGGGACGCACCATCAGGTAGTCCACTGTGGCACCGGTCACGGCAGCGTGTTAGCCCCAGCGGCGCGCGCGGGCACCAGCCGGCGCCGCCCACAGCGATGCGAAGCGCAGCACCTTGTTGACCCGATGGCGTCCCTTCAATCGCCGTGCATGCAGGCACATCCCAGCAAGGGTGTCCGTGACTGGAGTGCGCACGAGATGGTCCACCGCTCATCCAAACATAAGTGATCGATCAAAACTTCGCGTGATCGATCAGCTTGTCGTCCATTCTCCCGATGTGATGAACTAATTTCGAGCTGGCTTCATGAAGCTTACGCGGGACACAATATTGGGTATCAGACAGGATCCCAATCAAACAACGATCCCCGTTCATACCGAACAGCGCCACCACGCAGCACATTGCGCAGTGTGCGACAACATCATTATGGATGCACTTTGACCAGACCTGTCAGCTGTCCAAAGACAGATGCAGCTGTCCGACGGGTTGGTGCCGGCTGTGTCAGCGGTGTACAGACCTGTCAGCTGTCCGACGGATTGGTGCCAGCTTGTCTGTGACGTACCTGTCAGCTGTCCGATGGGCTGGTGGTTGGTGCCGGTGATGGGCAGGGTGATGATGCCGGTGGTCAGCTTCAGGTTCTTGGGCAGGATGTGGCAGAAGCCGATGTGCTCAGCCGTGCCGTCCTCGGCCACCGTCGCCGAGTAAAGGTCCACCATGTAGGCCTGCACAGGACGGCACCGGTCAGCGAGGCAGGGACCGCCGAGCGGGCCGGACACCGTCGCTCAGATCACCGCACAGTCGGGCCATCCCACGGAGGTCCGACCGCGAGACAGGCTCACACACAGGCGGCTCAAAGCATCACACCCTCCGATGGAACGGCCACGTTGTTCCAAACGGCTGGGGCGGACAAGCCGCCCCACGCGTGATCTGCGTGCGAGGCTGCGATGTGACATTTCGGGGCTCTGAAATACCCTCGTCCCCGGCGAGTTTGGTCGCGGTCGGGCGGTCGCAAGCTGTCGACGGCCATATCTGCGAACCAAGAGAATAGACGATTTGCCTGGAAGTGCGGCCGTGAGGGGTGGCGTCGGACGAATGCGAAAAAGGTGTGAAATTCAATCCACTTTTAAATGGGTGGTGGCACGCCTAGAAGTACCAGTAAGCTACCACTAACCATAGCAAAGAGACGCCTGTGAGTGGGACCGACGCCACTTGAGGGAGGATGCGTGTCTGTTACAATGCGAAGAGTAACAATTTCGGCTGGACTTTCTGCTGTCCTCACTATCAAAACCTGCATCCAATTAACGCCTTTGACTGTAATGTGGATCCACAGAACCCACACACGCCAGCGCGTGGCATCGGCCACACAGGGGGCGATCTGCCCCGCAACTGAAGCTATCGGATCGCAGAAGCCAGACAAGATCTCCGTACCAGGAGACGGAACGGGCCGTCGTCGAAACGCTTCCGTTCTAGCGCATGTGGCTGGACGGGATAACGCCACGGAGACGCGTTCCGCGAACACCCGTGCCCGATGCCACTGCAGAACTGAAGGTGAGCCACCAGACGTACGGTGGAGGACGCCGCGCCCGATGCCACTGCAGAACTGAAGGTGAGCCACCAGGTGTCCGGTGGAGGACACCGCGCCCGATGCCACTGCAGAACTGAAGGTGAGTCACCAGATGTCCGGTGGAGGACGCCGCGCCCGATGCCACTGCGGAACTGAAGGTGAGTCACCAGACGTACGGTGGAGGACACCGCGCCCGATGCCACTGCAGAACTGAAGGTGAGTCACCAGACGTACGGTGGAGGACGCCGCGCCCGATGCCATGCAGCCTGAAGGGTGAGCCACCAGACGTCCGGTGGAGGACACCGCGCCCGATGCCACTGCAGAACTGAAGGTGAGTCACCAGACGTACGGTGGAGGACACCGCGCCCGATGCCACTGCAGAACTGAAGGTGAGCCACCAGACGTCCGGTGGAGGACACCGCGCCCGATGCCACTGCAGAACTGAAGGTGAGTCACCAGATGTGCGGTGGAGGACACCGCGCCCGATGCCACCGGAGAACTGAAGGTAAGCCACCAGATGTCCGGTGGAGGACGCCGCGCCCGATGCCACTGCAGAACTGAAGGTGAGTCAACAGACGTACGGTGGAGGACACCGCGCCCGATGCCACTGCAGAACTGAAGGTGAGCCACCAGACGTACGGTGGAGGACACCGCGCCCGATGCCACTGCAGAACTGAAGGTGAGCCACCAGACGTACGGTGGAGGACACCGCGCCCGATGCCACTGCAGAACTGAAGGTGAGCCACCAGACGTACGGTGGAGGACACCGCGCCCGATGCCACTGCAGAACTGAAGGTGAGCCACCAGACGTACGGTGGAGGACACCGCGCCCGATGCCACTGCAGAACTGAAGGTGAGCCACCAGACGTACGGTGGAGGACACCGCGCCCGATGCCACTGCAGAACTGAAGGTGAGTCACCAGACGTACGGTGGAGGACGCCGCGCCCGATGCCACTGCAGAACTGAAGGTGAGCCACCAGACGTCCGGTGGAGGACACCGCGCCCGATGCCACTGCAGAACTGAAGGTGAGTCACCAGACGTACGGTGGAGGACACCGCGCCCGATGCCACTGCAGAACTGAAGGTGAGCCACCAGACGTCCGGTGGAGGACACCGCGCCCGATGCCACTGCAGAACTGAAGGTGAGCCACCAGACGTCCGGTGGAGGACACCGCGCCCGATGCCACTGCAGAACTGAAGGTGAGCCACCGGACGTCCGGTGGACACCGCGCCCGATGCCACTGCAGAACTGAAGGTGAGCCACCAGACGTCCAGTGGAGGACACCGCGCCCGATGCCACCGCGGAACTGAAGGTGAGTCACCAGACGTCCGGTGGAGGACACCACGTCCGATGCCACTGCAGAACTGAAGGTAAGCCACGAGACGTTGACGTCCCACCTGCTGAGCGAGACCCGGACCGGATACATTGCGGTATGCCGCGTACGGCCCCTATCGGTCGCAGTTTAACCAGCCTGATCCAGACGATCGATTAGCAGACCGAGAAGATGGAAAAAAACGAATCAATAGTCTCAGGGCGTTACGCATCTCTTAGACCAGCAATCCCAGGACGTAAGGCAGCAATTAGATCAGAAGCAGGACCAGCAGCCAGCCAGACCAGCGGCCCCGAGAGCTGCACACACGAATCACTAGGATGCTGATGCCATCCGTAAAGGTGGAAGATGTCATGAGCCGGCTGGAGGAGACAACGGACGCACCGAGGTCTGAGGCCGCTCTAAGCAGAAATCCAAGAAAAACCGAGGAGCCAAACGAAACAATCGAAGAAATGACGGCCGCAGCGTCGTCAGCTATTAGCGACTGCGCATGCTTTGGTTCCGACTCCACATCCAGTGTCGTCTCTGTCGGATAACCAACGATCTCTGTCAAGCCCTCCCAGACAAATATTGACGACAGCCGACCTTGTTGGGCAGAATAACGCGTGAAGCAGTAACAAGGCAGCCCACGAAAACACGGTGCTAATCGATCACGTGAAGTCTATTGAAGATGGACTTTCGGTAATGGAAATATCGTGTTTTTTACGGTGAACACCCTGACCGACGGCGGAGCCGCGGTGCCAGCGGTCAGCCCGCAAATCTCTCCCACGGCAAAGCACCAGCCCATGGGGAAGCTGCAGCACATCCAGTGGCGTGTTAAATCACCGACCCGTGATGTCAGTGATGAGCTGTTGGTGGTGAAACAGCTGGATTTGCAGCTGAAGGCAGCTTAGAATTTCTGAAGACGGCTGGCTTTTAGCAGCGTCGGTCTAGGACATCCATGGGTGGCAGCCTCAAGTTGAGGTTGACAAAGTCGGCTATGAACTACACGGGATGCGCTCAAGAACAAGCACATGTTGTTTGGGCAATCTCCACATGCATCTAAGAAAACTCCTTCCAAGCTGATCGTGACGAGCCGGTCCGCACGTGCACCAGTCCGGGTAGGCGGGAACCTGTCGAGAATTACGGCGAGCCCGGCCGCGCCCAACCGACAAAGGAGTGGTCTGGTGTTTGCTCACGTGCAAGTCGACGCTGAAAGGCCGAGCGAGCAGAAGACGCAAGCTATCGGGAAGCATAGCGGACGGACGGCTGCGAGTGTCACCAGTTCGCTGTACCAGTTGAAGTGTGAAGAACGACAGCTTCGTTAGGATTGTCTATTCTAACCCAGAAGGCATGTACTGTGAACAAATCAAAGATGACGCAATGCCAATCGCTCAAACTTGAAAACGTAGCTGCGTAGCATCATCGAAAGTCATGCTTCGAACCGGTGGCGTTTACCCCGTTGCTTGAAAGCAGACCAATGATCCTGATACGCCATTGAAAGTATCCATTCCACAGCTTGGTGACGTACTCTCCTTCTTTCTAAATGACGTAAATGTACATACGGTAGTGAGAAATCCTTTTTGCAGCCGCGTTTAACGCTAAGACAGAACACTACAGCACTGCATGCCCACCATTACCACGCACGACACCGCATCTGCGGCAGCGAAGTACCAGTTTGTAACCCCAAGCTTTACACACACATCCGCATGAGTCTCTGGTGGGCTGCAAAACATGGGAATGACAGTGGTGGATCAGTGATTGTTAGAGCTTACGGGTGTATCAATAAAAATGGTCGTTTGCGCAGATGCGGTCATGTGGCATATCACAAAACAGCTGAAACGGGCACAGCGGTGGAGCAACGGGCGCCTGGAAAGTTAGAGCAATGCCTGTGTGGTGCGAAACACGAGCGCAGGCAGAACATGATTTTTGCCGTCGTTCCGACTGACCAACAGTAAACCGCCAATCACAAGCGTAGCCCAGCACCCTGAGCGGCGTCAGAGAGACAGCACAGAGTCACGTCAACCACAGCATCTCAAAGCGCACCGTGGACCCGGCAGCGAGCCCACGCCCGACAGCCGTCCGGCTCCCTCAGGTCCTTACCTAGTGGCGCCAACTCAGACACATCTGGCTTCCGCTGGCTCAGTGGCACAGTGCTCCACCACCGAGTCGATCAAGACTCAACAGCGTGGGGCGGCGCGTCCGCGCATTAACCAAAGCGGACGCCCTGCACCCCGCACACCAGTATCGTCCGGCGCCCTGGCCCGGCCCAGCCACACGCGCCTCTCGCGGCGCGAGGGCTTGGAGCGTCACAGCGCGGTCGCCAGTCTTGTTGGGACCGGTCGCCGTCGGATCGGAGGAGGCTCAGGTCAGCCGCTGCGTCCGACCACCCGCCGCTCCAGCTGGCGCTCTCAGTCGGCCCGCAGCCTCACTGCACCGTGCTGCCAAAGCGCGATATTAGGAAAAGGAGACTTGCGTGCAACCGACCGCACCTGGATCTCTGCGAAAATCGAAACAACGCCGTTAGCGCCCGTCCAGACAGCCGCCTCGCCGCGTACGGAGCACAACAACAGCCTGCACCCGCTCGCGCCCGACAGCGTCCGCACCTCCCCTGCCGGCAACAGGGTCTCGTTCGCCGCCGCGCGGCCACGGGTGCGCCACCTCCGCCGCCGCACTGACATAGGTGCGCCGCTTCCGCCGCCGTATCAGACCGGCGCGGGCAGAGCGGCAGGTCGCTCCAGTCCTCCGCCGCGGCCCAACAGCGGCGAGACGCCCTGAGACTGACCAAACCCCACCAGGGACGGACACAGGCGACGGACGGTGCACCGACACAGGCGTCGGCGGGGCGGAGCTGCGGCGCGCCGCCCGTGTCACACTCACGATCGTGTCCGGCTTCAGCATCTGACACTGGAAGGTGAAGAAGTCGTCGGCCAAGTACTCGCGGCCGAACTGCCCCTGGTGCTTAAAGGACGTCTCGCCCTCCTGCATCACCTTCGGGGAGGACGGCGGGTCAGTCGCGTCGCGCTCCTGTCAGTCTGCCGCACCGATCCAACACCAGCACACAGCCCAAATGGCTGCGGCTATCTACTACGACCCGTTTTGGTACATCTCACCACCGTCACAAAAAGCTTACAATCACGCGTGGCTTGTTTGGCGACGAATAATAAACAGGCATACAGGTATCTGGGGTTACTTTGTGGCACATATGTGCCGTGGCAGCGTTGCAACCTCCGTAAGTGATGTGAAACGTTTGCGCCTTGGTATCTGACTAATTGTCGAACTGCCAACAGCAGGAACTCGATGTGAAATCGTAATCACGGTGAGATTGCGGCTTCCGGACGCACCAATATCTAGTTCCAGCAGCACACGTCCACTAAATTAAAACGATTAATTGTGCAGATGTCTTTTTGACAATATTTCTGACAACCTACATAACTCACACATAATACGTGACCTTGGTTCCTCTAACGGTATTTTCGGGCGGATGAACGGCACTCTCTAAACATGTCAAACAGGCACTTATTAGGCATAGCCAAAAAAACATCCAAAACAATTTGGTCCACGATGTTACATCTCATGTGGATGTTATACGTGTATCCCAGCATACAAATAACAGCCAACGTAACACAGGAACGGTGCTGTTCTCGGTCACGCGGAGTTCAGAGCCAGCCGCCGTCCGGACCCGCCTAAATTAGCGGTGATCCCCAGACAGGCCGTCAGCGCGGCGAGCCGGATTGGAGGGCCCGAGGCGGCGGCAACTTGGACCAGGACCAAGGTTGCTGCGTCCGGCTCATCGCCCCGTCAGGTGACCTGACGGCAAGCGCTGCCAGGGCTCGCTCCCACACACAGCTGGTGGCGCCGGCAGCCCGCTGTCCCCAGGCTGATGTACCGACACCACACAGCGACAGCTTGGATCCCGGCCTGCTCCGCCCAGCCGTCACACGGTCCGCCCGTCGCTCCGTGATGACGAGGCCGGTGTAGCGGGACACGGCCTGTCTGTTCAGCCGCGCCGGCACAGAGCGGCCCGCACCCTCCGCCCCCCGCGGGTCAGCGCTGAGCAAGCGTTCTCAGCGCCCCGCGCCAAGCCGAGTGACGTCTTCGCGTGCTCCGTCTGTCCACCCCTTCCCCCCCCCCCCCTCCTCCTCCTCAGCCGCTCTCTCCCCAGTGAGAGCTGCGCCGCCGCGTGCTTTGTGAGGGATGGCGCGGCCGGTACTCACAGCCAGTTCCATGATGGGCCACATAGCGCCGCCGCGCAGGGTTTGCATGTCCATCTCGGAGCTCTCCTCGCCGGTCAGCAGGGGCTCCTGCAGCATCTTCTTCTCCAGGTTCACCGGCGTTACCTTGATGCGGTACTGAAAACCAGATCGCGTCACCCACACATTGGCGACATTACCATATATTTTTAACACAAATAAGCAGCACATATAAATAACAGGTGTTGCTCGAAAATGCGCTGCAAGACATTCACCGGTGCTCAAGGGATATTCACGTTAATGAACATCACATTACTATCCCAGGGTGATCCGTTTTACAAGGCCAACGATGATTACCAACTAAACGGAATGTCAGCCGGCGACTTCCGTTTAAAGCGCTGATACTGCCACGCCCGGCTCTAAAGTCCATGACCCCGACGAACACACATACCAGACTGCAGCCGCAGCGAAACGTCAAACATATGCCGGGGCGGGGTCCAAAGAGGCCTGATTGCCTCATCGGTCGACGGCGGCACGTTTTCGCGCTAGCGACAGGCTCCCAGCTCCGGCCAAAGTTTGCAACCAAGGGGCCACAAGGTCGCGTGACATAGATCTGACAAATGCCATGACGCAAGACTTTTGCACCAAGATAGCTGCCGTCTGCTCCCAAGCCGAGCCGCAGTTTTCGAAGGCTACTGCCGAGACCGGCCGTGTTTCCAGAATGTATCCGCTGGGACCGAGTGGCCGGAGATCGGACCACGTCGGGCCGGCCCGCGACGATCCGTAGAAAAGAGAGCACGTTTCGAGCCATTCTGGAGAACTGGCAACCCGCAGCGGGTCTGCACAAACCACGCAGATGACGCATCGCGGAGGCATGCTCGTGTTCTGAAGTCATTTTTACGTTTATAATTTTCTCCACTTCGATAACCAGTCTGTGGTACACGTTGTCCGAGGCCAGCTTCCATGACGGCTCTGGCCTTCCCGAGGGCATTTACGCTGACAGATTTCGTTCTGTGCTCAACGATTATGAGAGCTGTGTCGGTTAAGTTGGAACAATGGACCGGACCTCCGTATGAAGTACATTATCGGCCGCTACATTGCTGTTGTTATTTGTACTATTTAAAAAAGCATGCCCTCAGGAGCGTACAGCTACCCCAACGGCAGATATCACACCCAAAATGCTGAGCAACGTCGCACAGCAAGAGGGATGGCTTACGTCAGCTGGTTACGCTGCGTAATAGGAAACACGAATTCTTTCTGCATGGCTTAGTCTGAGAGCTATGAGGAGACGTATCCAGTTAAACGTGTGGTATAACGGTGGACGCACCATCAGTTCGCCTTCCCTCTGTCGACGCTTGTACCTACATAGCACCATGTCGCAGTGGTTACCGCTGCCCGACGTCATGTCGAAGTGGTCACCCCTGCCGGCGCAGGCATCGTGTAGGAGTAGTTTCCCCTTCCTGTGCAGACATCGTGTCGGAGTGGTTACCCCCGCCCGGCGCCATGTCGGAGTGGTCACGCCTGCCCGGCGCCATGTCGGAATGGTCACCACTGACCGCGCTATGTCGGAGTGGTCACGACCGCCCGGCGCCGGCGCCAGGGCACGCCTGATTCCCCCCTCTCTCCTCCCCTCCTCACATGACGCGGGGACAGCCGCCACATACCTCTCCTCAGCAACAGGCGGGGAGGGAGGGGGTCGGCCACGGGGGGGGGGGGGGGGCGGCCCGGCGGCGGAGCCAACGACGAGGCGGCCGACATACCACCGGCGGGACGCCAGCGGAGTGGGGCGGCCGCGGAGCGCCCGCTCGCCGAGCCCGCGGCGCGTCCAATAGCGCGGCCGGCGTAGTCGGTGTACCGATGGCATGCGCCATGTCTGGTCTGCCAGCGGCTTGGACCCAGCGCACGCTGGTTCACTAGACCGCTTGCTGACGTGCCAGCTGGGCGAGGCCACAGTGGGTTCGTTGGGTGTGGGGCCGCTGTGGCGCGGCGCCAGCTCAGATGGCGCCATGATGTGTTTGTCTCCCCAGAACGGTGCACGTGGGGCTGCTGTGGCATGGCGCCAGCTCAGATGGCGCCATGATGTGTTTGTCTATCCAGAAAGGCGCAGTCAGTCAGAAGTTGTCTCCCGTGACTCCCAGTCGGTGCTTATCGACGCCGGGCCGAACAGCAGCTGTCGCCAAAGCCAAAGGGCGTGCTCATCACACACGCTTCAAGCGTGTGTACGGATGCAGTGCAAGGAGGAGATAAAATTGATCCCCTTAGCTCCCTTGGAAAATGTCCGGAAATCGGGAGCGGTGGGAACATTAGGATATGCGGCAAAATCTTGCACCCAGTTGTGTTTTAACGGAAAGGGCGTGAAAGCGTGTCCCTTCGGCCAATGTTGGGGAAGACCAAATCTCACTCTGGCACACCTGGGAAACGTGTCCCTCAGCACTGAGGCAAACAACAAATACAACCATGTTGCGACACTCGGTGAACGCAGCTTAGTAAAATACTATGACATCGTAACGAATGACACACACCAACCGAATCGCGCCTGCACCACAATCACCCCGCCAGCCGTAGCGTGACAGTGGGTGTCAGGCAGGTCGGCGACAGCTGTGTTACCGCTCGGTGCCGGAACGTCTGCGGCCTCCACACAGCTGCAGGAAACACTGGGCCGTGGGATGCGCGTGCTGAAGGACATGCCCACCGACGCGCCGGGCCGACTGGCGGCCGTCCACGTTTCGAATCTGCGCTGTGCTACCAACACTGTCGTGGCGAATCCGTTGCTGCAAGCGAATCGCATGAGGCCGTCGGGCCGATCGCGACAACAGAGGGCGCTGTAGCGGCGGGCGATGTTGACCGCGCGCCCGTCCCCCGCCGGGAGCTCCCGGCGCTTCTGCGGGACACGCGTCTGCGACGGGCGCGCGCCAACCGACTGAACGTCAGGTTGGAGGTCAAGGACTTTACACTGGGTGGTGTCGACGATGCATGTGTGTTGCCAGAAAATGCGTTCGACGCGAGGCGAAGTCCGTTCGGAGCCATTCCCGTCAATAAAGCTTTACTCACTTATCAAGCGCTTCCATGGAAAACCATAACGGCGAAATGTCGCCTCTGTTGTCCAAGGGAGATACGCTGGACTTGAAATAATTCAACGGCGTTGGGCACGATTCACACAAGCAGAGCAACAGTTGACCCGAATGACACGGAAAGGCCGACTGGCAGCCCGCCACTGAACGTCGACTCGGCCCGGAGCGGCCGCGTAGTTCCATTGCACGGCATAAAGCTCCCAGCCTTCCCTCGGAGAGAAAAGGCTACTCATCCGATGAACTGGACCGACACTACTTAGACGATGGGTTTAGACTACACCGAACAAGCTCTGCTTAGCAGGTTCTCCGAACCCAACGCCAACCACATAAACAGTTCGTAACCATTCCTAATGAAACATATAATCGCAGCGGCGGTGAAAATTATAGAGGGTGGGAACACAGCTTTCGCCGCTTTCTTTTCATGTGCATTCCGGTTACTGTTCAAGATGGAAGAGTTGGGTTGGAGGGACGCAGCTGCTCGTGGAAATGAACATCCACCGCTACCGGCCATTCAGGTCCCCACTGTACATCGTTCAGCCCCCCCCCCCCCCCAGCTTTGCTTCACTTCCTGTGTCGGCACCACCCAGCGTCACCGGCGTGATGGTGTGACGTAACAGCTGGCTGCCACAGGAAGGGCGCTATTTTTCACATCTCAATTGAGTCGATGCATCTGATGATTTATGGGGAGGAACTGCGCACAAGACGCGCGACGTGCCAGTATGGCTGTTGATCAGAACAGGGCTGGGAGAGGCGGAGCGGGTGTCGGAAAATAGACAGGCGTATTCGAGGTTACATTCACAGGAGAAGGCCCATCCTCGCAGGCATGCTTTATTCGAACCAAATTTCTTGTGTCACGGACTGGTTTCCTGCCAACAGCCCCTCATCATCCAGCCCAACAACCACGACATGCCGTTGGTACAGATACTTCTTATATGTCACTTATGTGAAAACGCTCCTGCATTCAGTCCTTTGGGTGTAGTTTTTGTTATAAATGTCGATATTGACATGCTGCTGTTCATTTTATACGAAACAATACCCAGTTGTTCCAGTGTAATTACGTATCGCCGGGTGATTAACTGGTCGTGCCATTGGTGACTTCGTATGGACAACGAAAGGCACCCAGCGTTTGACTCACCTTTCTTTGGCGCTTTTTCCACAGTTCGACGGGGTTGTTGTACAGCTTGAGCTGCACCACCGACTCGACATTGAGCCAGCCGCGGTCCACGTGCGGCATTGGGGTGATGCAGCCGAAGTGTTCCACCGAACTGCAGCGCGTCACGTCCTCCAGCACTGCAAAGCGCAAGCGGTGAGGCTTCGGCACGGGCGCGGGCGACCGCGCACCAAAGTGCCAGACTCGGTGAGACAGGGAGGGGTGCGTGCCACAGACAGTGGGGCCAGCGTCCGGTGGCTGGATGCGACGATCGGCGGTCAGGGTCGGTCACCAGACCAGCCAACAGCGGACCTTTGGACGGCCGTTTGGTGCCCGGGCACGCGACGCTCGGCGGTGAGTCGGTCACCAGTACAGCCAACAGCGGACCTTTGGACGGCCGTTTGGTGCCCGGGCACGCGACGCTCGGCGGTGAGTCGGTCACCAGTACAGCCAACAGCGGACCTTTGGACGGCCGTTTGGTGCCCGGGCATGCGACGCTCGGTAGTGAGAGTCGGTCACCAGTACAGTCAACAGCGGACCTTTGGACGGTCGTTTGGTGCCCCGCCGAGAGGTATTGCTGCTGTTTCAAGCCAACACACATCGTCACCTGCTCTGGCCGAACGCCAGCTCTCCTCGCGACCAATGCAATGACATTGCTCTGGCCCTGCAGCCGGGCCCACACGCCACGGACTGCTTTCCCTCCCCGGGGGCGTACCGGAAGTGGACAGCTTCCGGGGCGCGATGTCCGTCTCCCAGCGACGGACTACCATCTTGCGGTCGCCGTCGATGTTGAGCACGACACACACGCAGTAGCGGTAGTGCACATCCTGGTCGGTACGAAGCGTCACCGTTGCCTTGGAAACTGGCCTGTCAACACAGAAGTCATTAGTGGCACTTCTTCATCACATAATGATATACAGTTGTGAAACATGTTGGTTATTCAGCTGCTTGCGTTGCATACATTCCATACAACAGCATTGGACGAGCCCGCCTAAATACAATGCATATGATGTGCAGTTCTGGTGCAATAACGTCTAGACTAATCTAAAATCCCACTTCGAACTAGAATTACTAGAAGTAATATCCAGGGGCGTACGCATACAGTTATCTCCGGGGGCACATCCTCTGCATCAAATTTGTTACACGTATTATAATATGTGCGGGAACGAGTGTTAACATAAAACCTGGGATGATCACATAAAAATTAAGAGCCAGCGAGTCGCTTTACGCCACGCAGCACATTTCGCGTAACTGCGGGATACTAAACTGGACTGTCAGTGAAAGCTTTGACTTGAGTCCGCCATCATGAAATGCCGCATAGCCCGTGGGAATACCACTGTGTTCCATTAGACTAATGTAAGAAACGTGCAAGGCGATGATATCCTCCTGCTTAGGACATGAAATACACAATGTCCATCGCCTGTTTGTGGCTATGTCATTTTCAGCCTATTTTGATTTGATATGTTCATATCAAGCCGTGCGCCAGTTACAACTCTGACCGTGGCCTCTGTGAGAGAATTGCGTCAAACGGTCAGGCATATCTTCGTGCTGCTGCCACCATATCATAAATCCACTCATCAAAGTACACGCGCCAGTTTTCTCCTTTCGTTGCCAGACTTAACGTATTGTGCGGAAAGGAAAATATATATCCACGTAAGCTTTTTAAGACGCCTTTCGGTTTATGGACAAGGGAAAATGTCAACATAATTACAATTTCTTTTTCGATGCTCCTCACAAGAACACTCTCTAATGCGTCCTGAGCACAGCTTTCTCTATTGTGTTTCTAATCTAGACACACTTTGCCTTGTGTGCCGCTATCTCTATTTAATTCACAGCCGTACACAAAATCGGATATCGAAATAAATCCAGCAGAGCGCCACCTTTCCCGCTCAAAACAAGCACCGGTTCGGTCTGAGACAACCCGCCGACGACCACGTGTATCACCGGGGAGGCAAACAGCATCTGTTCAGGGACCACGACACCTCGCATGGCGAATGTTTGCGGAGTAGCGTCGTTGACATTAAAAAGGCCCCGCCGTCACGTAAACACCAAGACTGCAGAAGTCATCATCAACATGTCTTGCATAGAAGCAGGCTGACAATTTCGAAGAAACCACGATCACGAAATCCAGCTCACCAGGAACATGGCACTATCACTCACGGCTATCATCCCCTCATACCATTCCCTCCCATGGCCACCACGTTTACTCAATCGGCGAGATTCGCCCGGAATGCGACAGCCGATTGCCCAACGCGGCATGAGAGGAGGCCGGCCAGTAGGCGTAAGGCGGAGTACCGTTCCACGAGCAGCCCCAAGGCCGTGCAGGCCTCCCAGTCCAGCATATTACGTAAGCGTAACGTTGTCGCATGCACCAGGTGCACAGTTCCCGCCTCCGCCTGCCCGGCGCGGCGACTCGAGAGGCAGCTCCAGCCAGCAGGCGGACGTAGACCGGCGGCTGCACTCTCCGCGCAACACTCCCTCAGGCCCGTCCCCCACCTGCCACACCCTCAGCCCCGTCCCGGCTACCAGCCCTCAGGCACATCCGTTCCGTTCCACCCCGCCCTCCCCCCCCCCCCCCCGTCACGTTCCCTCGGCTATACGTCTCACAATAGCCGAGGACGGTCATTACAGCCGACGCGCTGTAATTTTACGATTACGCCGTCATTGACCCAAATACGCTACGACAGCCTCAAACAAAGTAAGATCTGGTCCGAGTTGGAAGCACACGAGTATAGATACGAACGGGTGTCCAATTTAAACATTCATTTCCTCCGGTCAAACCAAGCAAATTGTTATGAACTGTTGGCGGCATTGTACGCAGGCATTTTTGGATCAGATCTATTTGCTGTGGATCAGAGTCGGGGACCAAGTCGAGCATTACACTTTGCGGATGGAGTAGCGAAACAACCACCTCATATATCCTTAGGCATTTGCTCGGGTATCTCATGGACTGGTAACCACAAAATTACAGCTGTTGACTGAAAAAGTATCCGTATCATATACGCTTATCAAGCCTTAACCGGCCAAAGTTCAGGCCTTACACTCTGGTGGTGGATGACCACCTACGGCAAGTTATTACGTACAATTAGGGCAACTACTTAACATGTGCTGGATGACGCGTGTAATAGTTAATGGGTCCTGTCGGCCATGGAACATAAAACATTTTTAATAATAACGGGCTTGCGAGTTGTGTTGAGGACGCTAGCGATTGATGCCGGCGTCTTAAACAAAGTCAGAATGCGAGCAAGCAGTTCACAATGTAATGCACCTATAGCACATCTGACATGCACGCCAAGCTCGGTGACAGTTCGTACTCACACTCTGGTCTCGGTGCAGCCATTAGCGGTGCCGTTGCTGCTGCCGTTGCTGGCTGCCGTTGCTGGCGCCGTTGGTGTACGCTCGCTCCTCAGTGAGCTCCGTCAGCTGCAGCTCGACGGCGCCGTTCAGCTGCCAGCTGCCCAGCTGCGGGGCAGAGCCGACCACGCAGGCCTTCTCGCCGGCCGCCAGCTCGCAGGCCACGCTGAACTCCCAGGGTCGGCAGACACACGCCATGGCCGGGGGCTGCGCTCGCTCCGCTGTGGCACGCACCGGGCCGCTGCGCCGCCGCCGCCGCCGCCGCCGCCGCCTGCGAACGGTGCGTGTCAGAGGGCAGCTCTGTCGCGCCACCTCGGCCGCCGCGCCGCTGTCGGCTCGACCTGGGCTCGCCCGATCGGCCCCACCGGGTCCGGCGGCGACGACCGTCGGAGAAGAGCGGCCTTTGTTCGCCGGATCAAACGATCAAGATATGCGCAGCGAGAATGCGATCTCCGCTCGTGATCTTTACCCGGTACTTCCAGAGTAAACTTTGACCTCTGCACCTACCTCATCGGATGATCTTGGTGTTCACGGATAGGCAGGCTGACACAGCAAAGATCTCAACAAGTAAGAAATGTAAAACGTATAGTCTAAATTGTGTACTTGCAGTCCACAAGGCGATATTTGGAACACATGTTCTTGAGATTCGCGGACAACCGTTTAACGCAGACACGTCTGTGTCAAAACAAAACGCGGCCTCGGTGAGTAAAATACAGCAGTAAATCCGTTTGTAATCCACACTCGGTGCTTCGAACTGGAACTTAAGATATGTGATCAAATTAACGGATTCCTCTTGATAAATGCAGGAGGACGTTTCTAGCAATATGCAAATGATCGGGCACCATCGTTATCGGACATAACACAACCGTTGCACGTTATCATCATCTTGTCGGCACCTAATATTGGCGAATGCAGGGCCGACAAGTGTAGCAGACACTTGTTCGATGCACTCGCATACGCATGAGCGTCCTCTGGTCTGAAATACGTCGTACTAAATCTGATTTTAATTAGCTTTTTCATAAGTTTGCTAGCTTAGGGGTCGTATATAACTGTGCTTAAGTGCGAACTGGACTTCAGGTCACTCACGCTCACGGCTATCCAACGTTCAAGGCGTCACGCCTATCCAACGTTCAACGTCACGGCTATCCAACGTTAGATAGCCTTGGTGCAAGGTACACACAAACCAAACACGACATTAATGGCGCATTATCGTGAAGACGAAACGCACGCGTCAGCCAACAGTCTCCAACCTCCGGTTTCAACAGATCTCTGGCACGGCCTGCTGAAATGTGCAAAAGATCGAAGCTGCTGCGGACATTGTCCTCATAATTTCAATTGATGGCGAGAACCAGCGGCTTCCGAGGACCACTGCACCTTTTCGGTCTCAAGAATATGATGCGTGGACAACTTTCCCCGCACTTTCCATGACACAAAACGTTTTTAGATACTCTTCGACTTCATCTATCACGAAGAAAACAACCATCCTGGCTGACGTCTCTTCTAAAAACATCTGAGGCTGTGACCGTACAGACGATACGACATGAGTTTTCCTTCCTGGACTTGCCCATAAGCACACGACGACGGCGGTAGACGGCTGGCCGACAGCGATAAAGTAGTGTCCGATTTGCACTCTCCCTTTCGCCGAGATCTCCATCCGCACGCTCTCAAAACGCCTCGCGATCCGCTCGCTACCACCCGCCACATGGGAGTTCTGAGAACCATCCATAAACGTATCTACATAACGTACACTGTACGTAAGGAAACCGCGGCCATGAAAGAGTATTTCAATCCGACGTGCCTGTTGAGCTTCCAAAACAATGTGGATAACACTGTCCACCTAAGAATTACCAGCACGGTTTGTCATTTCACCACCGCGCACCTCCCTGATCGGGCGTGCACTTTGACCAGTTCACACACCTAATCGCGGTTAACATCTGTTCGACGCGCCCCGGACGGCTGGGCGTGCCGCTGGGCGTGCCGTCACCGCTCAGGTCGTCGCCTGAGGCGGGTCCGTCCAATCGGAGGACCCGGCGGGAGCGTGATGAGCTGAGGCAGCACTCGACCGCTCGGATCCCCGCAGCTTGATACGCGGATTTCAAGCCGAAGTAGGTGGGGCTGTATGTAAGTAGAGCCACGTGGGCCAGGGGCATGTGTGCCGTTGACGCCAAGACACTAAGCTGTCAACTTCAAAACAACACCTATCGGCGGGTCTCCTGTGGACTGAGTTTCGCATTCTGCTGGGGTCCATACCTTCCCCAAGGTCTACATTCTGCACTGAGAGGATCTGAGAGCGCATGACAGTATGGAACTTAGAACATTCAAAAAAGTTGCAACAGTCATTTCTCAAAACGCGTACATTCGTTGGTTTAATAAAATGACCTACGTCCACTGAAACAGGGGGAGAGGGAGGGGCTGTCTCGGCCGATGAACTAAATAAATCGTCTAGGATCTCCCTTGCTGGCAGAACAACCATAGGGGCTGTTTACCCCGGTCATGTCCGCACCCCTGGCGCCGCTGTTGCGCACCGGCTCCTCTGAGGCCTCAGTGGGAGACCATCGTGGCGCTGTCCTGCTGCCTGGCCGCCCATCTTCAGGATCGAGCCGACCACGCAGGTCGCGACTGCTGGCCAACGTCACAGGGCTTGCCAAATCGTGCGCGTACGTGGCGTACCTTAAGGTCACCACTTAAAGGGAGTCTTCCACGGTGGGGAAGGTGTTGAAGCAAGCATCAGATGCGATTAAATGAGTTCATCTAAAACTATTGGTATGTTGTTGTTTTTAGTGGAAAAGACTATTCGAGCCAGCACCTTTTTTGGGGGTAAATATGCTCCTTAATACGCCATTGTTTGATTACGTTGTCGCTATCTTGTACAGCATTGATTGAAAGCCAATTGACGGTCGTTATGTATGGAAATCGTGCTCACAAACGCCAGATATGAACGATTCGGCAGTTATGTTTTTCTTTGCCTTGATTGCCGCATGGTCAATGGAACGGCAAGATTTCAATGACGTTATTATGACGTCATGGATCCCTGGGTGACTTTGAAATAGTCTTCCCAAAAAGATCTGCACATCTTCGCAGGGCTGTGAAGAAGGGCAGGGCTGTGATCCGCACCGAATGATGCTCAATGTGACTATTTCAGTTCAAAATCCCATCCAAATGTGGAACACGCTTTTTAAACGGTTTCCTGCAGCTCAATGGGACCGTTTCACCTATGCCTACCGAGGTAGGCGATCGCACATCGCATCTGGTGTGACTGGGGAATCTGCACCAAAACTCGGTGCACTAGCGTTTGGTCCGGTGGCTGTACGGTGAATATCAAACGATGGCGCCTATCACATGTCTAACAATAAACAAGCATGGGTTAAAACCCATCTTGTTTACCACGAACGTTAACACCAAGCACCGGCCCGCAAAGAGAGACTCGACAGCACAGTACCTAACTTGCAAAGCGCCTCTTGAGCCAAGCACCATTCTACATCTTTTTCAGTTCCCGTAAAGCTTCACAACCCATGTTCAAGCCTATAGGACGGAGGCGTGGAAGGTGACAAACGGGGTTCACGGCACGTAAGGTAGCATGTGAACCGAGATAAACGTCCTAATAGTCGTCCCGTATGCCCCCCATCCCCCACCCCTTGCATACTAAGCGGCTCCAGCCTTTCGTCGTAATCGCCTCTGAGCATTTATGGCTAAACCTTGGAAAGTTGGAGCCTCTACATGCCACTCGATGCTATTTAGTACCGGAACTCACTTACCTCAAAATATACGACACTGTGAAACCTTGAAATCAGCAGCAATGAACATTGTCTTCTTAATTCTGCTAATTTCTTTCCGTAGCACATGAGTATATAAGGCCAAAATAATGTTTACAATATGATGTGCGTTTTTAACTAAAATGTGCGCGGGTTTGTAGTAGAAGGTTTTTGGTCTGATAACCAAGTGTATTAAGTGTATTAGTCTGTTTTCCGCCCGCCGAAACATACCTTTTGCCAGGATATTTTTTTCACACAACGTTCAAAAAGAGGTACCGGAGACGTATAAACCAGGGGCGTAGTTCCGCAAAATGAGCTGGGTGAGGGGGGCTGAACAGTAAAAATGAGCCCGCCTGCCACCAAAACTTGGCAAACAAACAGGTTTCTTCCCGGATTTCGCCCACTTTCTTGGAAAAGTTGGGGGGTTGAAACCCATGATGGAGGACTGACCTCCCCCCAAATGCATAAGAGACCACACCACTGTAATGAAGTACTTGAAGTTCATTTTTGTCCACCACTTCACAACCCAACAGTAATTTGCTACAGATGGAATCCGAAAAGAATGTCCATTGCATGGGCAAAACATTTGCTTCAGTGGACCCGGTTACGGAATGCCATAACCCAGATAATCTGGTAATGTCTACCGCTATTGCTGCTCTACACGAACAACGCGCTCATAAAGATTATACCAGATTTAGTCTGGAATAATTGGTCAGTACCTCAGTCGTAAAACTTTTCACCGTTGGCCTTTGGCCATGGGCGGAAAAGGCAACAACGACCCAGGCTCTGAAACAAATATTTTACCGGCCTCAAGAGGCATCATGGATGTAGCCACGGAAGGGGGAGGGGAGACATGCCCCTCCCAATTTTCAAGCACTGATATCTCCAGACTCACATGTTTCCAGTAAAGTCTGCCTATTTCCAGTTTCCCATGCAACATGCAATTTTTTCGATCAGGTTGTTAGATCTCCGTTTGACAATTCTATTCTTGATCCTAGCCCCCTCCCCCCATCTCAGAAACGTGGCTACAGCTATGAGTGGCATTACCTTTTGTGACATTTCCTTTTGAAATGACAGCCTCCAACACTCTACCCTCCCTTACCGGTTCCTCAATCTCCCAAAGGTATTGTAAGCAGGGGCGGATCCAGGGAGAAGGGATGGCACTGGGTCATGGCCCCTTGAGACAGTCCCCCCAGGTCCCCCCAGGTATCTTGAGAGGTACCTGGGGGCCCTGAGGGAAGGGGAAAACGCCAGGCCCGTGAACTTCACAAGAGCCTGACCCGCCTTTCCCTTCAGTTCCTGCCCCATGAGCCACCAACCGAAAAATGTCACTTGGCGCGAAACTATGAGATTGTGGGGTAAACGGCTGCAGTGAAGTTAGCAATATCAAAACGAAAAAGATAGCCTTCGTATTCCTTTTACGGAGCACGGAATCTGAAAAATTTATCAGTGTTGAAAACGCTTCACACGAAAAAAAACTCATGATGTATGCTAGAAACCAACCCTCGCGACTAGAAGACCTTTCAGGACGAAGAAATATTACCAGTTTTATGTTCTTGATTAGAAGCATTCCCTTATGATTTCTTGCCCAAGGCAGTGAGGGAGAAAGCTATGCGCGATGGGCCGGAGGAAAAGTTTTGATATCGCTGGAATAAGGCGTCGGCCACTGTCTGCGTGCAGACGAGAAGTGGGTTTAACTGACATCCTCTAATGCAGGCTTGGCCGTTAAGGATTGGCCGTTTTCTGACGCTAGTGAGTGAAGGTTCTCGGCTCGGAAATAAATATTGCATGGCGTGCTGTACTCTCAGAGGTCACGTTGTCCCGCGGAAGTGACCCGCCTGCAATACAGAATGCGTAGGCACTGAGTGCGCGCCGGGGGCCGGATGCGTTACACTGCCCCCGTCTTCTGGCGAGGCAAACGGGACATTATGGCCCGTGCGGCCGCGTTGGAGCGATGGAGGGCACATTCCGCAGCGTTGTCTGACAAGGTCGGGGAGTAAAATCGTCCCATGATCTGGGTCGGCCTGCTTTGGATGTCGGGATTACGGAAACGCAAGCTCCTTTTAGCGAGTGGTTTGAGCACAAAACCATTCACGAAAAGCATCCGATATAACGTCCCTGTTGTTAACGTCTGGCTGCCACACTACCCACACCACTGTCGGAACAAGAAAGGTACGTGGTTCCTCACTAAGCAACACCCTGAACCAGCCCCTGCCCGTAGGACAACGAATACAAGACAGATCAACAATGGGGTACCAAGTTACAACATTATTGTGACCAGCAGACTCCATGAGGCCCTATGGGAAGACATAGACATATACATATACCGCATTAGGCATACGCTCATTCCTCTGCCTACATCCGCAATCCTGGATGAATGATGTCGAGTCGGCTTGCGCAAACCTGCCAGCATACCAGACTTCTTACCTTTACCCAGTAGACACACGAAGCCCCGTCGGCGAGTCGCCGCCTGGCCCCAGCTGCCCGCTGTCTGCACTTTCCCAGTCCCTGACGCCACGACAGTCCACTGGGGCGGCACCCGGGTGGAGAGTTCCGCGACTTCCGACCACAGTCCCTCACACACCCCCTCCCAGCACCAGTCGCGCGCAACTGCACGCCACAGACGGGACGAGCCCCCACCCGCAGACCGCAGCACTCCCCTGACGCTGGGCGCGCACGCAGCGCGCCTGCGCGCGAGGCGGCGGCAGTCGAGCCGGGGCCAAAGTCGAATGGCCGCTGCCGCCGGTCGATAGCGCGCGCTGTGACGTCACAGGCGGGCTGGCCACGCTGAGCAAGGTCACCGACCGACGGGCAACGCGGCCAAGGCTGAGCAGCCGTCGACGGTAGCGACGGATGGGCGGCGGAGCAGTTGGCTCGTGTTTTGGTAGTGGACGAGTAAAGTGGCTTTAAGTCTATTGATCGCGCGTCCAACTACCAGAGCATCATGGTCGCAAATCGCACACCAGTTGCGTTAATATCTCGACAGCGCGACACACTGGACTTCAAAGCAGGCAGGGATTTTTTTCGTACTGGGAACGATTCATTTCCAGATCCAGTTCCCAGCCACTGCACCCTGCAGAGGTATGCGCAATAATGTTAAGGGCGAATGCAGTGGATTTGATGGACCGTTACAGCGAAAAGCTTTGCACCAGGCGGAGTTAATTGATCTATTGCGTAACAGGTTGGAACAACGGAGCGAACACTTTCGGCCCGTTGGGTCTTCCCGTTATGTTCCCATTGCATTGTTGTTCATCTGTGCGCGAGGGCCAATACCCATGCGTCTTAGAATCAATGCTAAGTGTACAGTAGAAAGGTATTGGCTCCAGCCAATATATGACTCTTCGCAGGTCTAAAAGAACCCAACTTGAGAAAGACGGGCGAGGAATGCCTTAAAATTGCTTGCAAACAAATTTCAAACTGGATGTTGACCGCAGATCTCAGCATCAAGATGAAGCACTCGAAGGCGCAGGAGACTCGTCAGAAGTTTCGTGCGTGGGATCTAGGAATGGCGGTTCAGAACTCGGACAGACATTCGGCGTTCGGCACCGATGCGAGCATCCACGTGGCCGACAAAGAGGAGCTGGTGGACTACAAGTTCGTTGGCCATGCTTGAAGGCCGGTCAGCTGGCAACTGCCGGGAGACGGTGAATTTGGCAACGGACATCCATGGCACACCATTGAATGACGTTAGAACAGATAATCTCATAAAGTATATCGAATGAGTTTCGTTTGAAATCAGGCGTTTCTAAACACTTACACGCTTATGCCCACGAGACGTGAAAACAGCGTGCACAAATGACCGCGTGTCATAAATATGCCACACCGCAGTCTGACACGATCTCTCCCTTATTTCACACATGATCCGTCAAAACAAAGACACAACTGGGGTGGCCTGCCATAGTGGTCACAACATGTAAAGCAATACTTGTGGAACGTTGTATTCTTTATAATTTTAATGGGCAATCAGGGTCGTCCAAACATTTCAACGCAAGGGTTTCACAATATCTAGGAAGCTTTCCACATGCTGATGGATCTGAGCACGCTTAATTAAAAGATAACATAATTTATTCTTAATAGTTTAAGTGAGGCCATTCGACGTCTGCGTAATCCTACTGCATTAGCTTACCTTCAACTCACTTTGGAAACATGTGGCTGATGCACATTCAATAAACTACTATGCTATATAAGTATGTGCATACTCTTCCAGATTCAATGCGTATCGGACAGTTTTGGACTCTTGGTCAGACTAGAACGATTACATTGCTATCACTGTTTGCGGAAGGTGGCTGATCTGGGTGCCGACTTGCTACGCATGGTCAGATATGACTTTGTAAAGAAGGAAGTGGAAAAGAGATGCTGCTCAGGGCAAGCAGTCATTGCATTTGCGTTATCCAGCATGAGACACGTGACGGTTGCGAGGTGGTCTTAGCGCTAATGTTGGAGATGGAGCAGCAGAGGTAGGTCAACAATGACTTGTGACATTGCAGGAATGATGCATGCGAATGCCTCCATAGACATGGCGACCCCAGGAATTTTGACGCTGGGCTTACCTTCTTAACGAAAGCAACTTTCTCACGTTCCCAAATGCTGCTGCGGTCGGAATCACGGAGCGCAGACAAATCCACAGAAGGGGTAGATTCTCGTTATAGCTTATGGTGCTTGGCTAGGCATGGCGCGGATTTATGCTCGTGACTAGCGCACGTTTGACATGCCATCGATGGTGCGTTGCAGCGTTTGTGCGGCGTATCAGTCGCCACCACCATTACGGAACTCGGCTTGCAGCGTCCAAGGTCCTCGCGCCACAAAAATTATTCGGGGCTCCACGCAATCACGCGGAGGGATCGTTTTGAAATTTGTATGGCATACCGGTTGCTCAATGTGTCACAGCTGTTTAGCCTACGCACTCCGCCGTGCGTCCGCTTGATTCTCAGCTTTGCTGCTACGCGTTTCCCTTCGATTGCGTCGGCAAATTCAGGTCAGCATTCAACGTGAAATAATGTCTTCACCAGGTCAGTGTCAGTCAACGTTGAATAATGCCTGCACTGGGCCTGTGACAGCGTTGTTGCACCGGTGATTGTCGGGCGCATCATCAAGGCGCCCTCACGTCTGAGGCTGTGGTTCGACACGCGTCTGCGGAGATATGGCGAAGTGGACGTGCGTGTGTGATGTGTATGTTTGCAAGTCACGTCCGGCACTGAACGCGTATAACACAGAACAGACGAGCGCAGATCTGGGTGAAGGTCGTCGCCCGGAGCATGGCAGCGACGTCGAATCGGACTATGAGTGATACCCGCCGCAGGCCACGCTGCGGCGCGCAAGGATCTCAAAACCACGTGCAGCAGTATCGCAGAACACAGCAAACTGAGCGCAGCTACAGCTGCTTCAGAGGAAATGCCCCACGCTTTGTAAGTCTAAACCAAACAGAGAGGGATCTGATAACAGGGAGGCTCCCGCCCACAGCGTGTTCGCAGTCGCTGCGCTGGTGCTGATACGGTCGCGAATCAGCGGGTCCTTTAGTGCTGACGCCGGGGCCGCGCTGCCACCTGTAAAACCTGGCCTCTGAAGCACGCTTCCCATCAATAAGTCGGTTGATTTAGCTTTGGGCGGATTTTGACGCATCTGGATCGTTCATAATCGACGTGATTAACAAGATAGTACAAGTCTTTCAAAAAAAACAGATAGTACAACAGTTCTTAAAGAAACAGATAGTACAAGTCTTTAAAAAAGCAGATAATACAACAGTCTTTAAAATCATCATGCCGGCGTGCAGCTCAAGATTATGAACAACATCACATATGTAATAGTCATTGATGCGTCACTTTTTCATTTCAGCAGCCAATTGCTTTGGGCGTTGAACTAACAGTCCGGACGGTTCGTCCACATCACTTGAAAAAACCGATATCGCACTGAGCGGCACCCAGGAGCACAGCTGTTTGTGTGCTGTCCCCCGCAGTCCCAGCACGCTGTTCTGTACCGCCGCCGCCGTCAGTGCTGCGCACCCCGCTTCTCACTAAGCAGCCACAATCGGCGGCCGTCACAGAGCACGTGCTGCCGATACGACCGAGCTAGCGCGAACCCCAGACGCTTCCGGCACCAACATTGCGACGTAACCAGGCCGTGAGTGGGAGACTAGTGGGAAAACCACTAGATCTCGCAAAAGGCGTACGCACCGTTCCCGCAGCATGAAACAGCAAGACCGTCACATTTCCGTACCATTTATTGTCACAGTATAACAAGGCGACAGGATTGCGTAATAAAATACATACATTCAATGAGCAAGCACATCCGATCAGTAACAAACACTATCGCCAGGGCACATGTACAACACCAGGGTCCACAGAGTGCGCCGGGCGCGCTGGCGAGGGCCGGCGGCATTCACGCCGTCCATCCCTTTGTACTGGGTTCAAGTGCACCATTCACGGGTCACAGCCGGCGCGCGCGCGCTCTCACACAAAGTCGTCCGAGCGTCCGCGCCCCCGGCCGCCGCCGCCGCCGCCGTTTCGGCTCGCGTGCATGAAGCTGCAGGACATGCCCTTACGGCAGAAGCCGGACAGGAAGTGTTTGCAGGGGATCTCGTTCCAGAGGCGGGCCGGCGGCCGGCGGTCGTCGGCGCCGCTGCGCCAGCCGCCGCGGCCGCGGAACCGGTCGAAGCGCGGCCCAGGCCCGGGCCCGGGCCCGGGCCCGCCCATCATGCCCATGCCACCGGGGCCCGGGCCGCCCATCATGCCGCCGGGCCCCATGGGCGGGCCCATGGGGCCCCAGCCGCCCGGCGGGCCCATTGGCTGCGGCACGAAGCCCGGCGGTCCCGGGCCCGGGCCGTGCATGCCCATCGGGCCCATCATGTCGGGTGGCATCATGCCCGGGTTCATGTCCATCATGCCACCCATGCCGGGCTGCATCGGGCCGCCCGGTCCCTGTCAACACAAATCACATCATAAGACACGGGAACCACATTGAACTCACAACAATCCAAAACTGCGCCGCAATCTATCATAGTGATATCACGCCACACAGCACTAGCGATGCACGTTTACAACAAACCGGTTAGGAGTGGCATTTAAAAGCGCTACACCTGCATCCCCCGTGATTAAGAGCTGCCGTGACACGTACCCAGCCGGACGGGGTCTGCAGAAGTCCAGGCGGCATCATGGGCGGCACCGGGCCGCCGGGCGCCGGGAAGACGGCCGGCGGCGGCGCGGCGCGCGGCTCCGGGCGCGGCTCCGGCCAGCCATCGGCGGAGTGGTCCTTGACCGTGGCGCCGTCCTGGTCGTCCTCCAGCGGCACTGGCTTGCACGGCGTGCGCTCGTGATGCTCCAGCTCCGGCTCGTTAGGCGTGTCCGGCATCCTGGCGGCCGGGCGACGTTAGCACCACGCAGCTGCAAGCCAGAACGCTCAACAATCAGCATAGGCGTTCCCGCCCAGCTATAACATATTTCACTGTCATATTCAGCTTCTGCCAGAGTTCTCCAACCACGACGGAGGTCGGCGATCGCAGCGATACCAAGGTTCTGCAAACTGGTGACATAGCGAGCCAGATATCAATGAGCAGAACCAGTCGCTATCATATCACTCTAAACAGTCTGGGAATACCGAGCAGCCAGCATTCGCCAGCACAGCCGTGTCAGCCCGAGAAGCCGGCTGGATTACAGCGTCACGTCGCCCCGGAGCCCGACTCACATTGCCGGGTTGAAGAAGGCCGGCAGGCAGCCGCGCTCGCGCTCCTCCTGGATGCCGCGCTCCTGGCTGCGCGCGCCGGCCTTCACCAGCGGCGGCGGCTTGTCCACCACGATCAGCATCTGCCAGGCCATCTGCTCGGCCATGCCGTCGTCGCGGGTCTGGCGCGCGCGGCGCAGGTACTCGCGCTCGCGCAGCTTCTCCATCGCCTGCATCTCCAGGAACTTAGCCCGGTTCACGTTCACTGCCAGGACAGGGGGAACAGTGTCAACCACCGCCTTCATTCATCGCTACATTTATGGTCAGATAGATGCACCATTGAAGGCTTTACAAATGTCGTCAGACAACTTGCATGTTGGCTTAGACGTTTGTGTCTAGAGTGACGAGTCAAGAACGTGAACGAAATAATTGAATATAGAAAACTGATCCACGCTCGCGCCCCTAGACATCTATAAACACAAAGCCCAGCTAGTCTGACCAGTTTGGCCGCGGCGTCCGCGGTTTGCCTGTCTGCCTCCGAGTCCGTCCGCCCGGCCGCCTGCTCACCGCGCTCCGTCTCGTCCAGGTCGAAGTAGCTGACGTCCACCAGGGTGGCGTCGGGCCGCCAGTGGACGCTCAGCTGGCGCCGGTTGGCCGGCCGGTGGTACACCAGCACTCCCTTCAGCTCGCCGGCGGCGCTCGCGTCCGCCGCCGCCGCTGGCGCCTGAGCCGGCTTCGGCGCGGCCTCTGTCGCCTCCGCGGAACGCTCCAGGGGAATCGTCGGCGTCGGTGCTGTCGACAACAGCTGACAGTCAGCTGATGACCGTCACAGCTGGTCCCACACAAGACGGGGCAAGAGCTGCGCCAGCACGTCACACGGAATACTGCAGAGGCAATGCTCCAAAAGCAGCGCCCCGCCATTCATCCAGATGGGTGTGAAAGCTCTGAATATACATTCATGCTGATACAAACCTACCTCCCCAGCGCCCTCTCCACACCAGTTATTGGCGCTAATCCGATGCCCTTTGACCCCGAACCCCCACACCTGACCTACCCGGTCCATTTGTCAATCCTGAGGCGCTTAAATGCTGGGTTGACCGCCGCCCAGTTCGATGCTGATTAGCCCATTTAGAGCAAGGAGAGGGGCAACCGGCAGTGAACCCCTCGCCAAGGTGTGATAGCATGAAAAATGTTCACGTCCCTGCCACCTAAGTCGGGCAAAAATCCAAACCTCGCTCAAAGAATACACGCAGAGCAATAGCGAAGAGCGCACGGCACACTAGGCAGCCAGCTGCCGACACAGGCGCCGTTGCCGTTCGGCGGGCGATGTGCGCCAGCGGCTGCCGGGCACGGGGGCCTACCTCGCTCCTCCTCCGGCTCGTGGTTCTCGTCAGCGCCCTTTTCAGCCGTGTCTGCGCCGTCGGCCGTCTCCGGAGATCCGTCGGCCTCCGCTGGCTTCCGGTCGCCCTCTGGAGACGGCTCCTTCTTCTCGTCCTCCTGTGTGTCCTGATAAAACTGCAGAACAAACACCCACTCGGTCACTCTCCCGCCGGCAAGCGCACCATCGGCCGGCACGCTGGGATGGGCAAAACAAAACGCGTAAGTTACAGCGTTCCCCCTCGAAACATACAAGAAAGCATAAGTGGCGTGCATGGAAAGCTTCAGCGACCTTCCACACAGCAGGACATGAGTTTTGAGATATCTCGCGCCGTACAAACATACGGCACACAGCGCGGTTCGGGCCACCAGCCAGCAAGCACAGCGTTCCCGACAGCCTGCCGGGCTGCGGGCAGCTCTTCCCCGGCCGCTGCGCCTCAATGACCGCTGCCTGACCTTGAACTGCGGCTTGGCAGCGACCGGTGACGTGACGGCGGGCGACTCGTCCTTCTTCGACTCTTTGGAGTCCTCGCGCGACGACAGGCGGCGCGTGCGCTTCGTGGTTTTCCGCTTGGTGACCTCAGCGCTGGCGTTCAGCGCGTCCATGAAGCCGGACGCCTCCTGAAGGTGGAGCGCTGCGAACACAGACGCGCGTCAGTCCAGCTACGGCGGGGCTGGGGCCACACGACAGGCCGTGCGCGCGTGGCCACACACTAGACGCAGCGTACAGACCAATGTCACACCCAACACGGAACGCATGCGCTGAATGCGCGACATCACGGCAGGCTGTTGGTTGCCAGACCCCATGCCAGTTTTTTGGAGGAGCCTCAGCTTCCTCCGTATAGTTTTCGCCCATCGCCTCGTCCTAGCTGCAGACTTCTTTCGCTGGACCATTCGTGAGGGACGGGAGTGTCACGCGCCCATATCCTCACCGCTACGTCCAAGCTGTCCAAGTCATAATACGAGAACCACCCCAGATCCCGATGACACACGATCCATTCCTTGAGATCCCCCAGTGCCGTTCCACTCGGAAATCACTTGACGTCAGCAAGAAAGGCCGTCAGGTCCTAGTCTTTGGGAAAAATAGGTTGCTGTTGAAAACAACCAGCTTAACATGCTTCCAGACTGTGCACATCGGAAAATGCCGCACGCCTCCAGGAGCGGCGCCTAAATTCATTGAACCGGGACCTTTCGTGCAAAACACACAATACAATTATCTCCAGCTTTGCCTGATCACGCAGCAATCGTTCGCCACACCTCGTACGAAAAATTCCGCCTGGGGCGGGTGTCTAACCCCCGTCACCCACTCAAGGCTCTAATTGAAGTCAATAGCTTAACTCCTATTTTATTAGTTTGGGCACATTTAGCCTCCAATTTGGATAAATTTGTTGAGGTACCGCCCGTCGCAATATTCAGCTTGGCACAGACGGCACTCTAAGACTGGACCCATCTCTTCAATGACTTCTTCGACAATGCGGAAATGACTACATGAAGGTCGTCCCAACCGTCTTTTTTCGGTGGACAAGCGGATGCACCCAATCTGTCACTCCGGTTCCTGCATGCCCTCTGCTGCGGGCGCTGCGTTTCGGGCACTCAGCGTCGCGGCCGAAGCTCACTCGGCGCCGCTCCCGATGACCTCACTACCAGCGCGGGCTCGCTGCCGCCCGTTTGAGGTAACATGCTGAGGGAGAAAATGTTGAAGCCGATTGAAACCTAAGCTTCTGAAGGGAGCATTCATCTCCATATTTAAATCGCCGAAGGGCACCAAGCTGAGCCGGGGGTCGCCATCACCTGGCGCTCTGGTGGCCAGGTACAATAGGCCATACGCCAGCCTGCAGCACGGGTCTCAATTAACCCAAACTACACTGTGTTGGTCCGCACCCAGGTTGTTGATCGTCGCCAACAGTTTCGAGGGCGAGTGTCCACAGTCTGAAAAACTGTTCTTGCCAATCCTGAGGTAGCAATAAGTGTGGACTTAGTTGTACAGAGCTGGGGGACGGTACTCCCTCTCCAGTGACGCCTACCACCGCATGCTACATGCACGCACCCGGAAGGTTGATATTCATCCACGCACGAAGCGGAAGGGTCGATGAACCGGACAGGCTGGGAATCACACGCCAAGAAAGAAAAGAGGTCAAGTCGCTGTTAAGCACTAACGCCCATCCAGCGCAGAAGTGTATGGCCACGGCACAGGAAAACGTCGACGAGCCTGATCTCATCTTTAGGAACGGAGCTGGCCGTCTTGGTGATGATCGCCCAAGGGTGTTTTCTTCCTATGCAGTTAACGGGGTCATTTGTGCTCAGAAACATGTTAATCCAGCAGACCCCACCTCCGGGTCAGGTTCAACACATGCGCACCGCCCGTCCAGTCCCCGCACCTGAAAGTCTTACGCCCCGCGACGACTCCGGCGTTTAACACCCGATGCCGTGACCTCTTCCAGAACCCACACCGGACATCACCATGATGGAGCCAGCTGACGCTCGGCGCAGGCGACGCAAACATTTAACTCTGTAATAGCCAACCATTTGAAAGCGGCTGCAGCTCACAGATAACTTTCGACGCAAAACCTCAGGCGTGAAACATGTCGGAGTTCCTAAAGGACGAGCGGTGGACAACAGCCCCGACGGCCATTTGTTTTTTTTTCTCCGTTACGCCAACAGAGAGCTGTAATCCCAGGCTCCTGCGCCTCCGCCGCCACTTTCTTTCGGGTGACCGAATCCCTTCCGCCCGGTAACGCAAGAGGCAGGCGGCTGCGACCCTACGAGCCCCAATCGAGTGGCCAATCAGCTGTCCAATCGATACTATGCCCAGCCCCTCTACCCCGGAATCAGCCTGATGGTGTCGGTGATTTGGGCTTCAGCGCGAGCCGACTGCCCTGGTCCTGTAGCGTCCACGCCCGGCGGTGATTCACCCCCTCCCCCCCCCCCCCACCACCACCAGCGAGCGCGTCACGTCCGCGGCGTACCACTCACGGGCACGCCTCTGCCTGGCATGTGGCCAAAGCAGCTCCAACCGACGGAATGCGGTTTTACTGGATCAAACTGGCACGAACCTACGGGCCAGGAATCAGGGGAGCCGACGGCTGAAGCCCAATTTATCGAAAATCTAAAACTGACCCCAAGGGGACTGACTGGTGGAAAGAAATAGACAAAATGGCTATCGTCCCCCCCCCCCCCCCACCCATGTGGGGCTGTCTTCCCAGTCTCTGGAACTGGTATCGCGGCTCGCCCTTGATCCGACGGCCACGCAGGTAACGGCACGAAGCCGCAACCCACGGCGGAGGCGGTTCCGGCCAATACCCGGGAAGAGCCTGCCAGACCCGGACCTGCTTGGTCGTTTGACTTTAGACGGGCCAATCGGTTTAGAAGCGACGTCCCAGCTTTCCAGCAAAATGCACTAAAATAGTGTAACATGCGCGATTTCGGGTGATTTCCACCATTGAGAACGTGCATCTAGCCGGGCGTGCATGCGTAGTATACGGGAAGACGCAGCACGGTTGATTCAGTGATGACGTACCCACGGAGCGTCGTCGGAACCCTGGATTGACCAGCAATTTTATCTTTCTGTCGTCTTCTTTCTATTGGGACCGCATAAGGGCAAAGCACAGTCCCAGAAGTCGGGGGATGGACAACTGGCAGGAATGGTGACCGACTTTTATCACGCAGGGTCGTTGCGGTAATGTTAAGCACTACCGCAACCAACCGTTTGCTGTCCTTCCCTATACGATCGAACCTGCCATCTTCGCGAGCAAACAACAGCCCAAGAGCGCGACAGGCCTCTCCAAAAAAATACATGCATAACGCCGCAGAAGGTGGCTAAACCGATTTCAGCAGATCTTTGAATGCAGACAGCGAACTCAACACAAGCAGTGTCGACCACGAAGACTCGGTCGCCACATCGATGAGCGTGCATCAGACAGCATCCCCGCTATATACCCGCCGCACTCGGCCCATCCGGACATGAATACTGCTCTCTGAACCGAGCTCCGCCCCAAGTATATTAAAGGATACCTGCGCTTCGCAAGGCGTCATTCGGCAACCCATCATCGCAGTGGAGAAATTACCACGGCGAAGAACGCACCGCATCGCAACGCCCCGTTCCGCCACAGCGGGCTTGCGCCCCAACGTTGGTCAGCGCTTTCCCGCACCCTTCCCGTTCGAACCAATGACTCAGCAAGACTTCTCGCAATGTTCTGATGCCTCCTGCTCATTACGGGGCGCGTCGATAGTCCGTCCCAAGCAAATGCGGTGGCACACCACCCGAGCAAACTAATCACGCTCAGAGCACGCAACACGTTTTAATGGCGGACCACACGCGGCCCACAACGACCAATGCTGCAAAGGGCCCATACGTCCCACGGCTTAGCCGCGGATGCACGCAGCCCACTGTTTACTGCGCGTATTGCATGGGGATTTCTGTCATGACGTCCAGTTCTCGCCCTGCATTAAGTCCATACGAGCGGTTGCAATGCAAAATCACCCATACCTTCCACGGCATTTCGGCCTGAAATACGCGGCACCGATCGCCTTGCCGCCATAAGCGCAATCAGCGGAAACCTGGCGGCGGGACGCGCCTTACAACCCGTGTGTGTGGGGGGAGGGGGGGGGGGGGGCACTGTGCAAGAGAATGGTCAATCTCAGAGTGTAGCCGACGTCTCATCACCGTGGACAAAATGCAGGAAGCCTGACATCCGTCTGCATAACAATCCTGCCCATTCTGGAACCTCACTATTACCGTTTGCAGCTCCGCCGTGAGCAACTGCCCGCCACGCCAAAAGGGCGAGGGTAGAATGAGCCCTGTCACGACGCATTGGACGCTACGCCTTACGGACGCTGCGCGGAACATAACGCTTAAAATGAATGTCGACGCCCGATTCCACGTGCCAGGCTGACGAGGCCCGTACTTGAATCATTGCTAAAGGCTGTCCATAATCACGGGCAGCAGATTGGCGAGGTAGCTACTCCCACCCTTGGGGAAACTCGACATCAACCCTACCGCGTACGCGGAAAAGCCAAAATGAGTTCCAACGCTTCTGTCCCCAGCGGTCGGTACGTACATACCGCACACCCTCAGCAAAAGTAACTTAGCGATCGCGGCATTCAGTCCCAGTCCGGAAAGATCTCAGCAGAACCAATGAGCGTAGCCTGGACCAGTCGCTTTGGTGGATGGAACGGACAGCTTGGAGCGTTCGCTACGGTGCACCGGACGGTCGTCCAACTCGCGTTCCAAGCAGTGCAGCAAGTCGATGTCCACTTTATGTTGCATTCTGATATATCATACCAACGCTGCTCGTCATGGGTATGCCATCCGCAACGCAATTGTTGCGTGTCATAGCTAGTCAATACATGTGTTGTGTGTCCCCAGCTGAGAGCGACGGAATACAGTTACTCTCCAACCTCCGCCGTGCTGGCAGATTCGGTGGGGTGCGCCTGCCCATTGACCCTGCACCGGAGCCATGTCTAACTCTCTCCACAGATCCCTTGGATGGAGGTCATTCGAATCCCTGCCTTCAAGCAGCTCTCAGGTGGACCCGGCCCAGACTCGGCATGCATAGCTCGGATTCCGGACCCATTTCCAAGGAGTGATACCGGCGGCGGCAGCTTTAGAGAACCGTGCAATATTATATATATATATATATATATATATATATATATATATATATATAAAGGCCCACATACGAAGCATTTTCCGTACATGGATTGCCAGACTTGACTGTCCTCCATTTGGTGCAGACGGAAAATGCCCTGCTAAGTGCATGTTGCCGAATTCATATTTGGACCGATCACCACTGATTCGACGACCTTCCGACTCTGAACCGACAAGAGCCAAAGCAATGTCTTGACTTAACCAAAACTGATCACGCAAATCATGTAGCAAGCAAAAGTTTGACTTAGCAGAGGCGATCGCAACTCCACCCACCGCCGGTCAAATGCATTGCTGCCCCAGCCCTGAAACTGACAAACTCCCGCGCTGCACGGGACGCCCTCAGCAAGCTCAAAGGCATTCCCCAAATGTTAAAGCATTAATGGAGACATGCTGGACAGAACACATCCCCTCCCAACAACAGCTTAAAACTATGGGCGTCCGCCTCCCAAAGTCCCCAGCGCAATCGTACCTCCACGACCTTGACGAGCGGGACATGCACGCTTGTAAAGTTATGGGTCTTCCAAATGCATATGGAGGAACAGGAGCCCAACCGCTGCATGTCTAACGCTCATTTTATGCAAATACGACAGCCCTGCCTTTCAGGGTTGCACTGGCAGCGCCTGGCGGCCATAAATAATGAAATAGACGTAGAGTATTGACTGCACCTCTGCACGGCAATGCCCGACAGCGGCAGTGAAGCACCTGGCGGCAGAAGTCATTAGTCCCGCCGCAACATTTACAGGCATACATCGTCGAAATTGTTCCAGCAATGCCGTGATGAGGTGGGATGGGGACCCAAAAGTTTTAGCTGAAACCATGAGACCGAAATCTGCAGAGAAGTAAATATTTTTGACTGGAAACGAAGACCAAGATTTCTAGGCCGAGAGCCCACAATCCCTCGTCGTCAATTTCCACTCAAGCTCTTAGTCGGCACGGCTCTGCACAGGGCTGGGAATCACCAGACAGCTGACAACTGCCGACCTGATCACCCGGGCCAAATCTCCATCCCGCCAAAACGCTACCACCACACATCCGTGGAACTCAGTTTGTGGCCCTGTTCCATGCGACGCCCCCTCCCCCGCCAGAGCTGGGAAGTGGACGTCAGATTTATCACCTCGCCAATAGTCACCGGAGCAGCCTTTTCTTGTCCTCGCGCGTTGTTCCGTGGAAGATGCGGACAGTGGGTGACGTCAGTTCGTGCTACACCCGCCCCCCGCCGTCGCCGCGTGCCGCAGGCAGCCTCCGGCCGCCGCTGGCGCCGCCGACGACTGCCTGCCGTTCCTACCTAAGCCGAGTTATCTCCTCGGCGGGCTTATTTCGCCCATCTATCTACGGGGCTCATGAGCGTCCCCGGGGACTGGCCTGCGCTGGGGTGGTGAGACGGCGAGCGCCGCCGCCGAGGTCCGCCACTGCAGCGGCGAGGCGACCGACGCGCCGACGTCGGCACGCACGCACACGCACACACACAGTAGAGCGACCGGTCGCGAGCCTCACAGCTGGTCCTCGCACGCAGCGCACTATCATCAGCGACTAGTTGCAGCTACACCATAAGGCACATAAGACAGTTCAGAGACGGCTGCAACAGGATGTCCAACGCTCAAGCGCAACGGCCGCCTTGCCAAACATGACAGGCGAGATCGCATTCCGCTCATGGCTGCGACATCACATTTCCTTAAGTCGCGAGCCATCAACACGAGCCAGACCAAAGCCAGAGGAACAATGCTCAAGAGGATGTCCAGTGGTGCAGCAACACGACTAACACAAACCCCCAATGCTAAAATTCGCAAAAATGACGGCGTGTCTGTTGCGGTAGCAGGGTTCCCATGTTCAACTGGGCAATTTTGCTTGAAAAGCTCAAGTACGGTCTAAAAGCATGAGGGCACATAACACGAATTTGATAGAAAATCCAAGCTTTTGAGCTCGTCATAAATCACTGTTCTCGAAGTTGTGACTGCGCCCAGGGTTTCCACATATATCCAGAAGCATGGGAACCCTGATTGGTAGTCACAATGCCAAACACAAAGATCATGAAAAAGAACATTCCATAATTTGAGTTTGAGACAGCTGGACAGTAGCCAATCTCATACAGAAATACACCAGCCGTGTTTTTGATCGCACTGTTTGCCATATGGGCCGGGAGGTAGTTAAGCTGACTCATACAGATCACCCTGACTTCAAAATCAGTTTAACTGATCAATAAGATGCCTCAGGGCCATACTATAACATGGAGTAATTTGAAAGCAAGGCAAGTTGTAGTTTGGCTCTATGAGACTGGCTACAGGCAGAAGTCTCCTGGAGCGCGACAGACATCTGGAGTGCACTGATAACCGATATGTGAATAATAACATGGCTGCAAACCAGCTGCTTCAAAGCGCAGTGCACTCAAAGTAGCAAAAAAAAAAAAAAACGTTCCAATATACGTAGGCAGATTTCATGTGCACCCACATGGGAGCGCGGTTAGCAGTCTCCAATGGCTGCTAGAGAAGACAAATAGACATTAAGACGCAGTAATTATGTCCGTACGGCTTCTGTCCTAGTTCACGGAACTGCTAACGCTGCTAATAGACACATTTTGTTGCTTACTTCTGAACGGCTAACAGACGACCACTGGACATCATCGTTGGGAGACAATGACAATTTTCTTCTAGAATATTCCTTTGGAGCGGCCGTCCCTCCACGGCGCATATAGGTTTAAGGATTTGATTGGCGGTGAAATTAGCCGTGAACTGAGCGGCACAGCCCGAAGGGAATTTCAAGGTAAAAAAAGAGGCACCCGCTCGACGCGTTCTAGACCCACAGCCAATTACCAATCATGCATACCGATAAGAGCCGATAAGTCGCGTTCAAAAAGACAAAATCCAGGACTAACTTTACCCATATCACCGACCACTTGGACGTGATCAAACAATATCTAACCCTGTTTCATATCGAAATAAAACCTCGATGCTCACTGAAGGATAGCGCCAACACATAAACCGTAGATGATGTACTAAAAGCCCGCCAGATGCGATCCAGATTAAAAAATTATCTCGGAAGTACTCGCAGAGGAACTAAGATTCCGTGAGCAATGGCATACAAGTTAACACACTCAACCAGCCCACGACCTTCCCCGTAACGGACATTACTATTATCCGATCATGAATTCTCCTGTCGGATGCCACATTGGGGTCATGACCGAACAGCAGATCACATGAGATGATGTTTTCCCTACTCCAGAACGCCGAACTATTACCAACGATGAAAGACAAGGAAACGCCTCCAGCCAGAGGGCGGGCTCACGTCAGAGACTGTACCAGCGTCCCAACATACAACTCTGCGAGCATGGATTGGCGTTCCAGCTTACAAATGACGAAGCTCTCTCTCGGGTTTGCACGACTAAAAACGGACCTCATCGAGCACGAATGGGCATAACATATATAAACTGGAGAGTCGGCGCTCTCCACATACCGGTTGGCTGTGTAGACTGAGCCGGCAGTGGCCGTGGTGTTGTCTGTCGCGGCGTCTGGGTTGGCGGTCGGTACCCGGGTCGAGCCGCCGCACGCAGATACACAAACATGGCAGTCTGGCAACCAACGGCATCAACTACACTGTCGGAAAATTAGCCGCATACCCCGCTGCAGCAGCCGACCGTTCCGAGCGACGAGCAAGCGGAATCGGACGACCCCACCCCCTATCCGCCACCATACTCACGTTTCGGTGGGATCACTTTGATGCCACCGGGCCGCTCGACCGGCGGCCGTTGCTCTATGCGTGACCGCTTATCGGGGGGCGTGACGACGACAGGCGGCTCCGGCCGCTTGGATGGCGGCTGCGCCACCGCCGGCGGCCGCGGCCGCACCACCTCCGCCGGCTTCTTCTTGGGCGGCGCCGCCGTCGACACGGCGTCCTCCAGGCCAGTCGAGCGGAACTTGGCGCCGAACGTCTTGACCGTGGGTCGCCGGACGTCCGGGAGCGGGCCGGGCCGGACGCCCAGAAGTGGCTTTTTCACCGGCGCGCCCGCCGGCGGTGCATCCTTTTCCCCAGCGGTCCCGGAAGACCCATCCTTGCTCTGGCTCGTCGCACTCTTCTTCGGTATTGCACCCAATCCCCCCAGACTAATACCCTGCCCGCGCACTTTTTCTAACGTTTCCTTGTCCTTCTCGCTCTGCCGCTTTCTCTCCTTTTCCTTTTCCTTCTCGCGCTCTCGCATCTTTTCGCCCTCCCGGTCCTTATGCCGGTCCCTGTGACGACGACTGGAATCCCTCGAATGTCTAGAACTGCTACTCTTCTTCTCCTTGTCCTTCGAGCTTGAACTACTTTCCAAACTCTTTCGCTTAGAGCTTTTGCTGTCAGATCGAGACGATGAATGTTCACGCTTCTTCCCCTTCGGACTTTTCGATCCGTCCTCTTTTTTCGATCTCGTCTCTACAGCCCTTTTCTCGGCAGATGGCTCGTCGCACTCTGCGTCTTTAACTACGCTCTCTTTTTTATCGTCTTTCTCGTTACTCTGTTCCTCCTCCCCTTTCCCCTCGGCCCCCTGATCTCCTCCCTCGTCTCCCGCCTCCACCTTCACGTTTTGCGCTTCCTCCTCGGACTCCCCGCCATTCCCCTCCCCTTCAGCGTCGTTAACGACCTCTGCTGGGTCCTGTGCACTGGCACCTCCCTTCTTATCCACAGCAGGCGTCGAATCGCTATCCACTTTCTTAATCACGCAAATGCCATTTCTTATCTCCATCTTCCAGTTATTGTCGTCACCCTCTTCGGAGTCCACACTCTTCCTTTTCTTGTCCTTAGTGCCCGGTTCCCCTTTGATGACTTTCATCCAGGCTTCAACCACTTCTTGGGCCAGGTCTTTGACAACTAAAACAGAGAGAAGGGTCAATTTCTATTTACACAAAAACAGGAGTCGACAACCGAGTTCTACCATCATTGAAGGGGTATTAAAAGGCCGGTTCTTTCAACACTGAGCTCACCAAATGCGCAGCCAAAATTTGCGACGGGGGGGGGGGGGGCGCTACCACGATTTCCCACGCAGAAAGATTTTTTTTACGAACGAGTCTCAAGCCCATTGATAATACCTAACCACCGCGAACACACCACAATAATCCACAAACGCTTAAAGGTACAGGAACTGGCGTATCAATGAGCTATCCATGTTTTGCTCTGGTCCCTAACCAATTATTTCAGCTGCGTATCGTACAATTCACTTATCTACCCGCTTTATCGTTACTAAATTACAGTTCTCGGGCGCACCATGCCGCTGCCCAAGGTGGTGACCATGAACTTAAAAACCAACATATGTCAACAGTCTTCCTAATGACCAGATTCCGGAATTCTATTTTGCAGTGTCGTGGTGAAAAACTGTGCTCGAACCTAACGGGGGAGGGGCTAAAATACCATAAGCCCCTTGCCCTTGGCTGCGCTGCCGCCACCGACCACATAGGACGAGAGGATTTCGTTTGATAGGCTAAACTTGGGTGAGTCGCATCGCATAGTGGTTCCCGCTGATTCCAAAAAACAAACAGTAGGAATTGCGCCGTGACAGAAGGGGCAACAACATCGTGTGACTCTTACAATGACTTACGTACCGACAGTGATATACTGCCTACGGTGTGTGAAACCAAATCACGAAACGCAAGCTATCAAAATCATCAAATATCAAAAGCAATCATGGGTCCCATACTGTTAGTCGAAGAACCAAGAACCAAGCATGGTATGGCGACGATATATGCCTCACGGATAACGCTAATAAATTAAAATAAAATATTATATATTAAAATAATAATAAATGAAACTAAAAATTGCATCCAATGTCAGGCAATGTGATACATGTGTAAATGTAGGTCGCGAAAGGTCAAAAGTCCCCGTGCTTACACCTACCAAAGCTTACGCTTAATGACTGGCACCATTGCATTTGATAGCAACGCCTGATCACGGAAAATCCATTGTCTACGACACACGTGGGTTTCGGGGCACCTGAACGCGGAGTTCAGCTGACATGACCTCGATGACGAGGTAACAACGCGTGACCGGTGACAGACAGGGTCTTCGAATCGTCACGAGGACGTCAAACTGTTCAAACCCAGCTACTTAAGATGTCAGTACTACTGCCTATGTGGTTCGAAAGTTACCTTAAACTTAACGGAAGGACCTCTCATCCGCTCCCACCCCGGGCCACAGTTAAGTCGAGATAAGGTACATGCGCGCTGGTCCGACCCCTTCAGCTAATTAGCGTTTCGGAAGGTTCCATCCCACTTTTCCCGCACCCAAATCAATGCGCGAGAGGCTGTGCAATACGTCTAATTGTACTGTGAATTAGGCGTTTGATACACAGACGCCTGATTACATTGCGTGACTGTCTAACAGGCTCAAGCCCTCAAAATAAACACGCGCCCGTGTGGCCGGTTGAGTACCCTCCGCTCGAGAGGGAGGGTACTTCACCACCTGAGATCTCAAAAGACTGAAAGCTTAAACACTACATCCACGGGATGGATTGGCCTGCAAGTGAACCCACTGGGGCAAACTGTGAAGTTCCTTGGTCGTGGCCTTCAAGTCCGTGGCGTCAAACAAGGTCAACTCAAGACTGATGTCCGAAGCGCTCGTGACCTCCCCATGCAGCCGTCTTGAACAAGATACCTGTTCTAAGCAAAAGGTCACTGGTGTTCCTTCAACACGCTCGGGTACAGGGTCAATCTGACCCCCTTCCCTCCAAAAGTTTTTCCAGAACGATTTCCGAGCGGTACGACAGTATAGCTATAGACAATTGCATATTGGACCTTACAGTTTAAAAATTAGATGCATCTCGCAAGGGCACTGACCTATGGCAGGTCAAAGTCAGGCCGTGGCTGTCATCGATGGCCATTTATAGGGAACTGTTAAATTTGAGGCGATAACGAAGTGTTGAGCGAAGCCATATGTCTCCCAGTTTCTTAGGCAATCAACCAAATGAATGAAGAATGATAACCGATTCCATCGAACCAAAGTCACGTATTAAGGTCGGACCGAGGTAAAAAAAACCTGACTTGCTTCTGGAGAGTTTGCTCCATAGTGCTGCTTTTGATGATCATCTCGAATTTATTAACGACAGGGACCGCAACAGATGTTCCATGGGCCTTTTGAAGATCAAAGTACATAAACGGCCTGAAATAGCCCAGATTAACGTTTTGTTTTCAGAAACATAGCGCCAGCGTAAGCCATGACGCTTATTTGAATGACAAAATCGGAGCAATATCGTATATTTTTGGTCACCTTGACCTGCGAATGGTCAAACAGGGCTACTTAACTTTTGTTTAAAACAGGTATATTCTGGGTGCACGGAGTTGCATGCGGAGGTCTGAGGGAAAGTCGGACACTAATCTGCAACTTGACCTTGATTGAACTCTAGGCCATGACCTAGGAACCTCAAATTTTGACACAAGTGAATTCGCATGTAGGCCGACCCACTGAGTGACTCTAGCTATCTCGGTTTTCTAGATCTCTGGGGGAGGGCAATTGACCCCAACCCCACCCGAGCGAAGGGAATCCAACCGGCCCCCCAGTCGCGTGTTAAGGTCAGTGACCTTATTTGACTTTTAGAAGGTCATGGTGATCCGAAATCCTCCTAGACTGTTCGTATTTTTGGCAGCTAAATTAATGTCAAGGATTACGCTAGGCGGTATGTTCATAAAAACAGAAGTGGTAGCCTGAGTTATTTGAGAACAGTGACTTGCTCTGACATTTAAATCCATAGAAGATGTTCGTTTCAGTCCCTATTATCAACAACGTCGAAATGAGCACAAAAATATCCTATACACCAACTGAGCAAAACATAAGCTTGGCTTTAACCTAGGCCTGACCTAAATATCTGTCTCTAGGTCCTTGGAAGCTGTTGTAATCCTAAATTCAACGGCTTTAATGCCTAAAAACCTATCACAAAGATGTATGTCTTCATCAACGCTCCGTGATCGCATTAGATTTAACAATTATCTAGAAATGTCACCCGCTGACAGCCACGGACTGATTTTGACCTACCATAGTTAGCGACGTCACACAGTTCATCTCACTTTTGTATACCAAAAGACACGCTATTCAATTGCCTACAACTGTAGAAAGTTGGGCGCGGCTGCCCAGCGCCATTGGAAAATTATCCTAGAAATATCTTCGGGAGGCCAAATTGGCCCACCACGAGGGGGAGTGTCAGTTACATTTCACCCGTGTTAAACGACGCTTCTTGGAAACAATCTACCCGATCTCCTGAAATTTGTTTTGTACGTGGCTTTAGCACGCCGCAAAAGTCGGCGGTGTATTCACGTGGCGTTCTTCAGCGGCTTGCTCTCGGTATGTATTGAGTAGAATTTTCTTGCGGCGTATTTGTCACATCCGTTCTATCGGAGGCTGACACAGTAGCATAGCGGCCCAAAGACCCCACTTCACAAAAAAAACAAGTGCATGATCGTTAAGCTTTGGATGGCTACAGCCGAAACGGACAACGTGGGACTTCAATATGGCTTGTGGGCCGCACCCTTGATTGTCCTTGTCAAATTCTTAAGCGAGCAGTTGTCAATCGTTGAGTGTCAGAGCTTCAGCAAGTATTCTGAGGACGAAGCCGCATAATGCGCGCCTCCCCCTCCCCAGGGAAGAATACAACGAATGTGCCAAGCCGCATCTCTACCGCAATTGAAGACTCGATGCATACGGTAGAGAAAAGCAACGGTTTGCGAGAAATTACAGGGCAACCACCATTTTCGTGCTTGCCGAGGGAAGGAAGACTTATCGATCCTTTTTTAATGAATCCAACAACAGGCCTATGTTCTTAAACTAGAAAGCACCTCCGGCAACAAACAAGAAATCTGCCAAAAATAACCTCACCTCGCATAAGCACTCAGATCAGCTCACTCTTACAAAGCAAAGGCTATCTCGGAATGACGGAAGGGAAAATCACAGTGAAGCAGGCATTTTAGGGAAATAATATGATCTAAAAGCATGCAGGACAATTTTCAGACCGGTACAACTTTTCCCGGAACTATTCCAGTTCATTGTTCCTTTCCATTGCCGTTCGAGAATCAGGTGTAAGTTTGAAATCAGCTGTAATTTCGTTCAAATCAGCTGTAATTTCGTTTCGCTCGTTAAATAACTGTATACGCACTTCAGGTCAAAATACAAATGCACATGCGCTGTCTAGATGAGTCGCATCTTATTCACTTCTCTCGAAGCATTCCGTATGGGCTCATTTTCCGTCTGATACAGTGATTGTTTAGGGGATTATTCCACCTACTGGGATTGGAGGACAATGAAGCTGTTCCTACAGAACTCATTCTTGTTTAATAGACGTTTGTGGAGCCCAGTGAAATGAAAAAGATGACGCCACAAAATAGAGCGGGGTCGTCTTCCGACAGTCGGCTTTCCTCTGCAGTTTTAAACAGTGCGGTGTGGCCCATGACGTTCACGTCACCATTGTTAAGGTCGCCATGTTTCTTTTAGGAACGGCTCGCGCCACCGAATACAGACCACTTTCCGGGGCAATAAACCAAAGGTTGACTATTAGCATGAAAATTACATCCCTATTGTACCTCGCCAAAGCGTCCTATATTATTCTGAATTCCTGCGGCCACAAACACGAATTGTCCCGCTTGAATCTGCTTTGCGTGACTTGGAGAAAACCAAATTTGGTAATATTTCGCAACGCTTGGAGTTCAACAAGCTGTGAAAACACCGTTCCATCAATATCATTCGCTCTTGCCATTTGTTTCTGCGATCCCCCAATAGCGGGAAATTTTGCTGTCAGCAAATGTTGCCTCATCCCCAGCCCAAACGATGGCTCCCACCACGTTATCAACTCTTCAAACTCCGTGCCAGTTGGTGGGACAAAAAAAAAACAAAAA